GCTAGGAAACCCTCGGGCGACGCCTGCGACTTTATCACGCGAGGCTAATGCGAAGGCATGGCTCTGGCACATATCTGTTTGTCGCACCCGGGCTCCAGCCGCCAATGCAGCACCGCCACGGGATAAAGAAGCCGCCATGGTAACACCAGTGACGCGGCGTTCCGCAGGCGGTTGACTGAGAATTAAGTCCAAGAATCCAGAACCTTGAAGGTGCAAAATTTTAGTGGCAGGATGTGCGTGTTGAATGGATGATGCCTCGAGTTCGGATGGAATCTTGTTTGGAAGCCAGGGATATTGGTAAGTTCATCGGAATGTAACCTGCTTGACGAAGCGTGGCGAACGCTTTCGAAAAGCGTGCGACGCCAGGGAGGGTGAAGTGCGAGATCAATGCTGATAAATTCGCCAATCCTGGGGATTGCTCACATGTTGACGCCTGATGTGATCTTTGAAGCTGACCAATCAGGCCTGATAAAGTCCCATTCACTGACCAGGAAGTCGGCACTCCGTAAAGTCATAGCTCACTAACAACTGAGCATGGTACACAGTGAAACAGAAAAACAGAGATGAAATTATTACGATTCTGATTAAAATAGAAAACAGAACGAAAATCTCATAAATCAAGTGACAGTGAATCATATGTCTGCTCAGAATATTCAGACTAAATATTACGAGAGATTCACCCCTGGTCGGACCTGGTCTAGTTTACACAAGAGCTTGAGACCATCCAAAGTATCAGATCGATTTATAAGAAACGCGTAAACGCCATAAGCTCACTATACAAGTCAAAACGTGCGAGGTTTTAAGGTTTTACTAAAATGTCTTAACCTAAACATTACATTCCAAGGAGCAGGAACGGCAAAAAAGGCAAAACTAACAAAGTTTGTGCAAAAGAAGCGCTACTATATATACACACGCGCTTGTGATAACCACTCATTATTCCGTGGACATGTAGCGTTGCCAGATATTTTCAGCCGAAAATATCACGTCATCCATATCAAGGCATCTTTTGGGTTGCTGACCTGGGTCAGAGACTTTACAGACTGGTCAGTCTTGTTGCTGACGAGGTGCCTCGTCACTTGGGGCCTTCCCGCCCATTTTTTGCTAGAAATAGCGAATCAGCGTTATCGAGGCAGCAATGAACACGACTGAAGACTCTGCCGCTGACGCTAATGATTGCTGATGTGTCCTCTGTGAACGGCACATGCTGCCATGACCATCACGAGTCACGTCACGTCACGACGACAGCATTTTCCATAAATTGAACAGTGTCGAGCTCCAAAAGTTTTAGCAGTTCTCACATCTGGGTGTACACTCATGTTTCTCCTAAAATTAGCACCTGAGATCTGACGTTTTTGTACCAGTTTATGGAGCACTGTATGAGTTTATTTGCTGAAGGTTGTTTCAGTACACCTGTCCTACGGAGCGCATCCATACAGATGCACAGTGTCTGATTTCCTTCAATCTCACCCGTCATGGGGCGTGATCCAATCAAATGGCAGCATTATGCTGCTGCACCCAAGCATCGGATTTGTAAAGGGTCCTTTTGGGTACAAATACACCCTGTTTCTCGATTTTTGAACAAACGGGAGCCCCGGCTACAGTGTGCACGCGTGTTTGGATTCAATGGGCTGGTGCTTGAAACCGAAATGAACTTCAGGGGAACGGTAGACAACGGTTTTAAAAACTAAACGCGCTTTTAAGTTTGTTTTCGTGCGGTAAAAGTTCTTATACGGTAAAACCAATTTGGACGCATTGATGTCAGTCCAACCGGCTTGTCAATATGTCGAATGTCAGTGTGGCGTGAAACAGGGTGTAGGTGGCGGGAAATGGACTACGGCGCCCAAGATTGCGCTGTGAAAAGTGGTAGAGGGGACACCCATAGCTTCTCAAACTTTGTAGGGTGAAGACTGTAATAGCACTTCAAAATCGCAATCCAGTCATCCTGTACCCTACCCGCTGGAAATGTGCAGATGCGGTAGGAACACGATGCGGCAGACCCCAGCAGACACCGGCATTAGTGGATGGGGTGCGGAGTCAAGTTTGACAAACGCTTCATAAAACGTGTTGATCTGAGCTTACGTCTGTAAGGGAAAGACCGATATTATTATACGCGTGACAAAATGGATGCACCACAACTGTACATGCGTTGCGAATCATGGATACACAACCAGAATCACCCCATCTTTTCGACCAACCAGAATGCCCCTCTTTCCCTCCCTCGCCACCTTCACCACAAACGCTTGAGTAGCAGGACTGCTTTTTCTGTTTGTGTGCATGAAATTGGTCGGAGGGTTGGCCCTCCAAGAGCAGATTCATTCGCGCCCACATTGGAAACGTGTTGGATGATGTACTCTTGTTCAAAGCCTTGTGACACTGTCAGCTTGTGAAGGAGCTGCCCTTGTCCAACAGCGGTCCAGTGCTGAAAACCATACAGTACCGCGCTGACCCGCTCAATAGGACCAGTAAAGATCGCAGTGCACTTTCACTTGGTTTGGTGTGTTCTCTCGGACCTTCTGAGTGATTCTGTGTGGCCTTGGGATTGCCGGAAAAGCGCGGAAATCCCGACCAGATTTAGTTGGCAGCATTGAGTTCGTGGTTTGCAACCGCTCCTCTCAAATTCGCCCCTGCTGCATGTGCACGTCTGGGTCGCGTGGTGTATTTTTACTCTCGTAGTTCGAAAAAAGAAGCACTCGCTCACTTTTATTCGGCGCCGCATTCCTTCAAACGCACAAATTGTATCTCCATTCTGAATCCTCTCACCAGCGCATACTAGTCATTTTTTGTGAGCGCCAAGGAGTCATTTTTTTGCGCGGCGAAATCCTTGCGCAGCGCTGCTTCCCCTGCGATACTTGACACCCCTGAAGAAACATTTCGCAGCGCTGGTCATTTGCACACCTTCTGACATAGATTCTCAGCGCATCTCCACCATCTCAGCGAGCAGCACATCTCCACATCTTCCGGCACAACTCGCTCCCGCAACTATGCCCACTCTCGCTTTCGAGCCTCTGCGCGCCGCGGAAGAGCCCTTGCGCGATCATGCAGCAGCCATGCCGTGCTTCCCTTTCGCGGCGCCCACCGTCGAACGCGAGATGGGCGCGCAATGCCGTGTGCCTACTGCGGAAGAGTGCACCGGCGGAAATTCTCCCGCGGAGGTGCAGTTAGATGAGGGCGGAAGAAGCCTGGGAAGGACGGCGTCTGGGGAGAGCGGGGAAAGCGCGGACGAGCTGCTGCTTCTGGATTGGATAATCGACGGCTCTTGCTCCACTGACGACTTGATGCTTCATCGCACTGCGACTGCTGACAGTCGCAGCGCCGACGCGAACGACATCCTCGCGTCGTCTTCTGCCGGTATTCGCGGAAACTTATCGCATTCGCCTCTGCGATCCTCGGCTAGCGACAGAAGCCTTGGCGGCCTTTGCGGCGACTCGAGAAACGGCAAGCGAGAGTTTCGCCGAAGCTGCTCGATGGAGGACATTAACAGAAGCGGCTGCGGCGTCGCGAGTGGCGGCGGGGGACGCGGCGGTAAACCCGGTGCCCGGATTCATGTGGAATCATCGCCGTCGTCTGTCCTGACGGGCGGTCCGTCGTCGCCCGCCGCGTCGGTCGATAGCTGCGCGAGTGATCTCACTTCGCCTATAAGCAGCCCCGTTATAGCAGAGAGGATCAGCATGGCTAAGCCGAGGACGTTGCATCTTCCGCCGCTACCGCCGAAGGCGCCCGTGCTGTCTGACACTACGTTGCGGACCATACCCGCTATAAGCGGCCCCGCGAGCTGCGCGCCGCCCACGGTTCAAGTTCAGCCGTTGCATCAAATCAGGTCATTTGGTGCGCCTCAGCACGCTGTTCCGTCCGCGCTTCCGCCGCCGATGCAGCAAAAGCAGCTCGAATCGCAACAAGGGCAGGTGGCGCAAGCGACGGCGAAGCAGCATCCGCTGGTGGCCTTGGACGAGCAGCGGCGGAAGCACCGCGCGTGGCTGTCGCTATTCTCCCCCTCTCTCGCGCAAACCCTCCCCCCGCTTGCGCCATCCGAGAGTGGCGCAGAGCTAAAAAAGCTTGCGGAGCTACGAACGCAATCTCCGAGCGCAGCACACGCGGAAGCGGAAGCGGAACAGCATGGGGTACGCGATTCACCGGTCTCACCGTTTTGCGCCGAATTCCGACCTTTCTCGTTGCCCCCAGCAAATGATGGGCAGCTGGGAATAACCGGCGGTTGTTTCGCGAATGGAAATTCGTCTGACGAACTCGCTGGCGACGTCACTCAGGCGATTCGTCAGGGGCTGGGATCTGTGAAGCTAGCAGGCAGTGGCAGCGGGCAGGAACAAAACTTCAGCCGTTCATTTTCGTATGATGTCACCACGCATGGAGGTGGTTTGCCGAACCACAATACGTCTGGCATTCGCCGAACCTCCAGTGACGTTTGGGAGGCGCCAGCAGATGGGATGTGCACTAATGGTAACGTGACTATGACGAAGCCGTCCAACCTGAGGAGGGGTGGCATGACAAAGCTGGGGCAGAAGAAGGTGAGGTGGGGGGCAGACGAAGTGTTTGAAATCCCTTCCCGCTGCTCCAGTATAGACTTCTGAGGGCAGTACATACGGTGGCCTCAAATGGGAATTAACGGCAAAAGTATATTAACGAAGTTGAAGCTGGGTTGAGCCCCCTGATTTGGTTGAGCTCCTAAATTACCGGTAGGAGGGATTGTACATTATTGCATTGTCCACTGGAACTGTGTTGTGGTACGTTTACCCCCATTCTACTGAAGCGTGGATTGTATTTTAAGCACCACCTTTCCACTTATAATTGACATAGTGGAGAGGAGTAGAAACTTTTAATTTGGCTTTCTTCCTAGGCTATACTGCCAACAGCCCCTCTCAACTGGAGCAAGAACTACAACCAGAAAACACTTGAAGCTTATTGTGACGTAGAAAGCACCTGTATTTTGCATCAATTGGCCACAACTAGATGTGAGTCTCAACCAGCACGTTCAAAACAAGCCACATCTAGAATTCACCATTGTTGATCGCGACATAACCAGCAAACACCCTGCCACTCGTGGCCCGCATCTCATTGATCAACCGGTTCCAGTTGGACCCAAGCACGCCCACATAGTAGTCACACTCCGATGAGATAATCAGGTTCGCAAAGCTCACCCCCACCAGCTGTGCCCTGCCAGCCTTCTTCTCGTAGTCGATCAACCGCATGTCGCCCAGCTGCCTCTCGTTCTGCGAATAGAAGAAGGTCCAGTCCTTGAACTGCGCTGATTGGTCGATCACGGACTGGGCGGGAGAGGAGGGTTAGAGGGGAAGGGGAGAGATTGAGAAGAGTCATGTGCCTTTTGAGTCGACTCAGCAGTCTTTTTCTTTTGCTGATTAGAAGAAGGTCCAGTTCTTGAGCTGCGCTGATTGGTCGATCATAGACTGGGGAGAAATCAAGAAACGGACTGAAAAGAAGAAGGGGGAGGGTGGGAATGGGGGAAGAGAGCGCAAGTGTGCGGCGAAGGAGGGGCGGCTCTGCTGCCTCTTGTTCTGCGAGTGAAAGGAAACAGATTCCCTTAACTGTGCTGATTGGTTAATCACAGTCTGGACAGGAGAGGTGGGTTAGAGGGGAAGGAGAGGGGAAGGGGACTGTTTCACCTTAGGAACTCCTCACCTTGGGAATACCTCACCTTGCGAATACCTCACCTGGCGACCGCCTCACCTTGGGAATACCTCACCTTGCGACCGCCTCACCTTGGGAAAACCTCACCTTGGGACCGCCTCACCTGCATTTCAGTGCTGATCCATACGAATCGGATGTCGGGAACGTGGAGTCTGAGGCGGTGCAGATAGAACATAAAGGAGTTGAAAGAGCTCAGCTTCATCTCACTCCCCTTGTCGCCCTGCCGAATGTGCAGGCTCACCATCGGCCGAGGCATATACGCCTCTCGCCCCACCCCCTCGTACAGGCTCGTCAGATAGGCTCGGAAGCTGGGGGCAGGACCGGGAGAGCTTGCCGAGCCTGAGCAGCTGGCGACGCCGAGCCCGGGCCAGGCCCGGGATTGCATGGATGGATCGGCAGAGGTAAGGAAAGATGGATCGGAGTGGTTGAGACTGAGGGGGTGGAGAGATGTCGAGGAGGCAGAAGCAGGGAGTGAAGAGGGGGAGGCAGCAGAGAGGTGGTCGTTGTAGAGTCGGAGGAGGGCGGCGCTGCGATCGCGGGCCTGCACGGTGTGGGTTGCCACGCGCAGCCCGTAGGCGCCGTGGCGGATGCGGTTGGTGAGATGGCAGAGGTACGGCGAGGGCCAGCGCAGCATGAAGCGCAGCGCTTGGCTGCGCCACCAGTGCACCTGAAAGGGAAAGGGGAAATGGGGGAGATTGGATGCGGTCGGTGAGATTGCAGCGCATGCAAGTGACGTGATGTGGTGTGGTGGGAACACACAGAGGTATGCCACTGGCCATTGCAGAATGAAACGCAAGACTTAGGGGGGGCGAGTGAGTGAATGGAGAGGAAAGGGGGTGGGAGGTGGAGGGTTGAGGGAGAAAGAGTGGAAGAAACTGAGTTACTGAAAAGGCGAACCTACACAACCCCGTGAACCTGTTTTTGAGTCGACTCAACTCAAAAACACCCTACACCACCCGTTGAACTACCACATCACCGCACACCGCGTCTCCATCCACCCACACCACCCCATTCTGCACACATCACCGCACACCACCTCTCCATGGACCCACATCATGTCCATGCCCTTGCAGCTCTATCACGTTGCTCCGACTGACGAGCCACAAAAACCTCTCCATCTACCAACATCCCACTCCATCCCACTCGATGCCACTGCAACGCACCTTGATGTGCTGGGGATTGTCTCTCTCCACCTGCCCCTGCAGCTCGATCATGTTGGGTCGCTCCAGGTAGGCCGTGTCCCACTGGCTGATAGGAGCGGACAATGGGGAGGGCAAGGAAGTATGCATCGCATGTTGAGACTCTTTCACACTTCTCTTTCAAACGTCTCTCTCCACCTGCCCCTGCAGCTCTATCATGTTGGGTCGCTCCAGGTAGGCCGTGGCCCACTGGCTGGCACGGGAACAAAAGGATAAGACAAGGGGGGAGTGTATGCTGATATGCCTCAAAAGCGCCAGAAGGAGCGACACGCGTCCCCTTCATTGAACCATTTATACATGTTAGGTGCTGCTTTCGTGCTGCTGCTGCTGCTGCTACTCTATCTCACCGACCGTCATCTGGCTATGCTGGCACAGCGCAAGCAAACTGGCTCCTCTCCCTCGTCTCTTGTCCGGAAACACTGCCCTCATGCATAGCCTCCACCCACCCAACCTCACCTGGCAATGCTGGCTTCGAACTGAAGCCCATTGAAGGGCTCCCCATGGAAGCACACAATGGGGTGGTTCGACACTAGCACCTCCTCCTTGGAGCTGGGCGTGGCGAGTGGTGGGTGTGATGGGTGGTGGGCGTGCAGCAGGTGCTGGGAGGGACCGGTGCTTGTGGTTGTGGCCCCTCTATCACCTGGCAATGCTGGCTTCGAACTGAAGACCATTGAAGGGCTCCCCATGGAAGCACACAATGGGGTGGTCCGATGCCAGCACCTCCTCCTTGGTGCTGGGCGTGCAGCAGGGCGGCAGCGCCCCTGTGCTGTTGGAATTGAGCGCGATCTCCTCGCAGTCAGGAGAGGTCAGAGGGAAGAAGTAGCAGTTGAACGAGCCCCATGCTCCTGTGGCTGGTATGGTGAGAGGTGGAATGGGGGAAGGCGAGAGGGGTGGGATAAGCGGAGGGAGACAGGAAACGAACCAAGCACCTCCTCCTTGGTGCTGGGCGCGCAGCAGGGCGGCAGCGCCCCTGTGCTGTTGGACTTTGAGTGTGATCTCCTCGCAGTCAGGGGAAGTGAGAGGGAAGAAGTAGCAGTTGAACGAGCCCCACGCTCCCGTGGCTGGTGTGGGCAGGAAAGGGGGGGGGGGGAGGGGAGAAAACGTGATTGTAACTAAAATAATGTGGATGGTTGTATGTGTGAGAGGAGGGTGGGAGGAGATGGGGGGAGAAGCGGGGGTGAGTGGTAGCGTGAGAGAGTGAGTGAGACATGGGCAATGATTAGCACCGTGTGAGTGAGTGAGTGAGTGTGGTTCATTCATTGCCAGACTGCTGTGAGGATGATGTGCTCGCTATAAGCATACTATGTTAAATTTAACATACTCGCTATAAGCAAACTCACCATTGCACTCGTCGTGCTTGGCGCGGTCAAACGACGGATACTGGAGAACCAGCGTGCGGTTGTGGCGCATGGCCAGGCTGAGAATGGCCGTTATGATGTGCAACTGTATTGAGAAGACGAAAGGAGGAGGGGAGAGGGGAACAGAGGCGAGGGGGACGAGGGGTGGGAGGAAAGTAAGCGAGGTGGGTGGCTGTGACGCATGGCGAGGCTGAGAGTGGGCGTCATTATGTGCAGAGAAGGGGGAACGGAGGGAGGTGGAGTGGGAGAGAAGGAGGGGAGGATCGTTGTGGGCACAAAGGCAGGGAACGAGGTTGTGGCGCATGGCTAGGCTGAGAATGGCCGTCAGTATGTGCACCTGTGGGGAACGAGAGGATGCAGGGGAGGGATGAAAGGCGAGGGGGAGAGAGTAGGGGGAGAAATGACAGAAATGCAAATCCTGGACTGCGACCCGATCCCACTCACACTCACTCACCTGCGACCCGATCCCACTCACACTCACTCACCTGCGACCCGATCCCACTCACACTCACTCACCTGCGACCCGATCCCACTAACACTCACTCACCTGCGACCCGATCCCACTCACACTCACTCACCTGCGACCCGATCCCACTCACACTCACTCACCTGCGACCCGATCCCACTCACACTCACTCACCTGCGACCCGATCCCATGGGCGATGTAGGCCCAGTGCGCAATGAGCAGGCGCCTGCCCTCACACCGATTGGGCGGGAACTGGTGCTCCCATATGTCCCTCTGTGCCACACGTGTCATGCCCAGATTGGCTGCGTCTGAACCACGAATCTGCAAGGAGGAAGAGCAGGGATGAGAGGGGGAACGGGAGAGACGGGGAAAGGGGATGGGCAAGGCGGTTGACGTCAAGAGCAGGTAAGGTGGTTGATGACAAGAGCAGGTAAGGTGGTCAATGACAAGAGCAGGTAAGGTGGCGCGATGGGGAACAGAGGCATGGGGGCCGAGGCGAGATGTCCGTGCTAAGGCTAAGAAAGACGCTTGAACATGCCTACTGACGCACACGGGAGCGAGCCTGATGTCTGTGTAGACAAATGTCACTGGTTGTGATGAAATATGAGATGATCACATCATATGCACACCCATACACACCCGTTCACACCCATACACACCCGTTCACACCCATACACACCCGTTCACACCCATACACACTCATACACACCCATACACACCCATACACACCCATACACACCCATACACACCCGTTCACACCCATACACACCCATACACACCCATACACACCCGTTCACACCCGTTCACACCCATACACACCCATACACACCCATACACACCCATACACATCCATACACACCCATACACACCCATACACACCCGTTCACACCCGTTCACACCCGTACACACCCATACACACCCATACACACCCATACACACCCGTTCACATCCGTTCACACCCGTACACACCCATACACACCCATACACACCCATACACACCCATACACACCCGTTCACACCCGTACACACCCGTACACACCCATACACACCCGTTCACACCCATACCCACCCATACACACCCATACACACCCATACACACCCATACACACCCATACACACCCAATCATACCCACCCATACACACCCATGGCGGCTGTGGGTTGCAGCCGCAGCAGTCTTTAGGACGAGCCCACTCAGGCGACTCCCCATTGGGCCCTCGCTGCTCCGCCGCCAGTCTGTGCGCCGACACCTCGCTGCACGCCTCCAAATGCGGAGCTGCTGCCACGTCAGCGGGCAGGGATATCTTTTCCGGGGGCAGAAGAGACTCTTTTTGCAGCCCGTACGCCTCCTCCCATTGCTGTGAGGAAAAGGAATTGTCGGGGAAAAGGGGTGAGGGACTGGCAGGAAGGATTCAGGTCGGGAGGAAAGGGATTGGCATGCAGTATTGAGGAAAGGGGGTGGAGAGTGCGGTTCAAAGGGGTAGAGTGAGGCACCACGACATGTGCTTAAAATAACCAAATGACTGAACCATCGAGCGACGCAACTTGAAGAGCTCGTGGCCGCGCTTGAGCCCTTCAAGTTGAATTTCAGCCGACTCAAACGTCACCTCGTGGAGGGGGATTCTCCCTTCACAGCAGGCAGGAAACCCCTTTGAGCCGACTCAAAAGTCACAGACAGACAGACAGACAGACAGACGCACCTTGTAGAGCTTTGAGACTCAAAAGTCACAGCCAGACAGACAGACGCACTTTGTACAGCTCGTGACCGCGCTTGAGCCCTTCGAGTTGCCTTTTCAGCCGACTCAAACGTCACCTCGTGGAGGGGGATTCTCCCTTCACAGCAGGCAGGAAACCCCTTTGAGCCGACTCAAAAGTCACAGACAGACAGACAGACAGACAGACAGACGCACCTTGTAGAGCTTTGAGACTCAAAAGTCACAGCCAGACAGACAGACGCACTTTGTACAGCTCGTGACCGCGCTTGAGCCCTTCGAGTTGCCTTTTCAGCCGACTCAAACGTCACCTCGTGGAGGAGGCTTCCCCCTCCACAGCAGGCAGGAAACCCCTTTGAGCCGACTCAAAAGTCACAGACAGATAGACAGACGCACCTTGTACAGCTCGTGACCGCGCTTGAGGCCTTCGTCTGCTTGCAACCTCCCGCCGTCTAGATGATCGCCGACGGCTAGCGACGGAGTTACCAGCAGCAATGCAACGCTGGCGATGGAAACGACATGAATTAACGCAGATGCACGCATGGTCCAGTCTCCAGTCATTGGTGGATTAAGGTCGATGTCGCACTAGTAAGACGGCTCGACACAAGCCTAAAACTAGGTAGAGTCTTATGCTTGTCCTAGGGTTAGCACTGGCATGACGATCGGCGAGAGACACCCAGAGCCTGTTTAGGTTTGTCCTAATCAGCTCATAGATAAGTACTTAGCAGCAGGGAAGGAACAATCACGCCTGTCGATTGCAACAAGTGGATCAACCAGATACGGCGAGAGCGAGACTCAGCGCGAGCGTGAGCATGAGAACGAATGGAGCGACTCGCCGACGCCAACTTCACTAGATAGGCGTTGACCCTGATAAATGATGCCTATCGTTGAACTGGTTGGCAGCCGGCGCGCGGAATAATTCATACACTGTTGAGGTAGCTAGCGATACTTACTGCTGCATCGCCGAGGCGAGCTAAGGGTGTTGAGCAACTTGACGCGCCGACAGGTGCACAGTCAGGTTAGGAATCAGGTCTGGATAATGCGAATTCCGTATTGGCGATGAAGCCGATTGAGATTTCTTCGCTACTAAACATCATTTTCCACACTTCGACCGTGAATAGAGCCTTTCAGAATTAGTAATCTACACTAAGTTTAAGGTAAAATTAGACAAACCTGGGAATTCTTGTGAGAAAAAAGGCATGAGCGGCTGATTCTACGACCTAGAAGCACTATGAATGAAATATACGTTCCTGGGCTACCTGAATCAAGGTTTATAGTATCTTCATTATATTATCACGCCTCTACCTTATCACACAATTGTGGACAGATGGCCTTCTTTGATGTCACTGGAGCAATGAGATGGGATGGAGTGTATCGCAAGAATGTCCGGTGTTGCGTCCTTGGCCTTTGCTGTTTCCAGCACCAACACCTGCACACACAACCATGCCCATATATAGAAACACATAAATACATGCAAGATGTACGTTCCAGTGGCTTGCGGGACACTGCCACACCAACATAAACGGCACGCTGCCTGAAACGGCTCAGTGCAGCACAGAATTCCCTCCCAGTCCCGCCTGACTGACCTGGTCGTAATCCGGGTCGAACTGCATGAATGGCTCGGAGCACTCCTCCACGAGCCACGCCGAGCAGCCACGAGCCACCAAACAAACACTTTCCTTCTGACGAATAGCCCCCCACCCAACCACCCACCCACCCACTCCGCACCCCCCACCCCCAACCCCCCCCTTCTCCCAACCCCTCCCCTGCCACCCACCTGGTCGTAATCCAGGTCGAACTGCATGAACAGCTGAGAGCACGCCTCCACGAGCCACGCCTACAAGACACCCAGGCCCACCTGATCGTAGTCAAGGTCCACCAACTGCTCGGTGCGCGCCTCCACGAGCCACACCTTGCACACTCTTCATGAACTTCCCTCCATTGACCCACACTCTCACCTCCCTCGTACCTGGTCATAGTCAAGGGTCAAACTGCATGAAGGGCACGGTGCACTCGTCCACGATTTTTGAGGCGCCTCAACCCCCCCCCCCCCCCCCCCCCCCCCTGTACCTGGTCGTAGTCCAGGTCAAACTGCATGAAGGGGTCGGTGCACTGGTCCACAAGGCGAGCTATCTCAACACCCAAACACCAAACCCCCAATGCATCGATTCTCCTTGATTGATCACGAATCCTTCCCAGGCTTACCTGGTCATAGTCGAGGTCAAACTGCATGAAGGGGTCGGTGCACTGGTCCACGAGGCGAGCGAGCTGCAGCAGGTTCTTCACCGGCACGCCGTTGAAGCCCACCACCTGTGTGTTCACCACCTCCTCGTAGCCTATGTTCACATCCGCCACCAGCACCTGCTCACGGGGGAGGCGCATAGGGGAAGGGCATGGAAGAAGGGCATGTATTCAGGTGAAGAGAGAGTGAGCTACCCCGTACCTGCGTCTTCACCACCTCCTCGTAGCCTATGTTCACATCCGCCACCAGCACCTGCACATGGAGGAAAAGGGCACAGGTAAAGTGTATGCATGCGACAAACAGCTTTTAGCTGAACCTACGGCAGTCAAGTGTCGTGGTGATATTCACATTTGCCAACAGCACCTGCGCATGGGGAACGGGCATACACGCAACAGGGGTTTACTTGTGATGCATATGCCACCTGCACCTGCACACGGATATGAGTATGCATGCGACAAACAGCTTATAGGTGAACCTAGGCCGGTCAGAGGACGTGATGTTCACATATGCCAGCAGCAGCTGGGCATGGGGAACAAGCATACATGAATCTTCCCACACTTGGATTTCAGCACACAGATCACTGCTGGCGGTCACGCAACTTTTGAGGCGCCTCAAAAGTGATTTCAGCACACCGATCACTGCTGGCGGTCACGCAACTTTTGAGGCGCCTCAAAAGTGATTTCAGCACACCGATCACTGCTGGCGGTCACGCAACTTTTGAGGCGCCTCAAAAGTGATTTCAGCACACCGATCACTGCTGGCGGTCATGCAACTTTTGAGGCGCCTCAAAAGTGATTTCAGCACACCGATCACTGCTGGCAGTCACGCACCTGGGAGATGACGGCCACTTGCTCGTCATCTGACTGTCTCCTGCGGTGGTGCATCAGCCTATCCAGCAGCGTCCATAAACGCTTGAATGTAACCTGCCTGATGTTCCATACAGCTGCTACATCTGGAATAGAACCCACCTGTGAGATGACAACCACTTGCTCATCGTCTGACTGTCTCATGCGGTGCATGAGCTTATCCAGCAGCTTCACCGGCGCGTCATAGTCATAGTCCTTGCCGTACTGCCAGCAGACACAGGGAGGGAACAGTGGGTAGGGGGCAACTGTGAGTCATAGTCCTTGCCGTACTGCCAGCAGACACAGGGAGGGAACACACAGGTTAGACGATTATGGGGGGTTTACGGGTGGGAGGGTTGGAATGAAAGGACTCCCCGACTGTCGCATGTGGTGCATCAGCTTGTTCAGCAGCTTTACCGGTGCATTGTAGTCATAGTCCTTGCCCTACTGTTGGGAAGCAACACGAGGGAACAACGGACAGGGAATAGCTATGAGCCACAGTCCTTGCTGTACTGTTAGGAAGCAAGCAAGCAAGCACACAAGGAGTTGGGCGGAGCACTGGTGACCCAGGTGAGCACAAACCCCACCACTATGAAGTAGGAGGGAGGCAATAGTGCAATGTGCACCGGCACCAGCCGCTTGTGCTGCTGAAAGCCCACCTCTAGCCCTTCTGCACGCACCTTTCCCCAGGACACCTCCCACACCTTCTCACTCACCTCAGCCCTGAGATAAGGCACAGTGACCCAGGTGAAGACAATCCCCGCGACAGTGAAGTATGATGGGGGCAGCCCTGCGATGTGAACGGGCACCATGTGCTTGTGCCGCCTCAGCTCCACCTACAGCTGCAGCACCACCCTGCCCCAGCTGGCCCTCCACACCTTAAAACAAACACACACATCAGCTCACCTCTGCCCGGAGGTAAGGCACGGTGACCCAGGTGAACACAATCCCTGCCACGATGAAATACGAGGGCGGCAGCCCCGCAATGTGCACGGGCACCATGCGCTTGTGCCTCCTCAGCTCCACCTGCAGTTGCAGCACCTTGCCGCCCCTCAGCACATTGATCTGTGCCGTCTCCCCCTCGTACTTCTGAGACACCAGGTAGCTGAAGCCTATGCGCTCGCCCTTGCGAAACGGCACTGGGGGCAGGGAAAGTGGGTGGGGGGGAAGGGCGGGAGAGGGGGACGGAAATGCAGGACGCGCGGGGGAACGGAGAGCAGTGACGAGCACGGCAGAGGGGCAGGGGGTGGGACAGGCTGTGCACGGCAGCTCCACCTGCAGTTGCAGCACCTTGTTGGCCCTCAGCACGTTGATCTGTGCCATCTCCCCCTCGTACTTCTGAGATACTAAGTAGCTGAAGCCTATGCGCTCGCCCTTGCGGAGCGGCACTGGGACGAGACGAGGAGGGCACATGTGGGGCAGAGAGGTGTGGGAGGCAGGCAGGCAGGGGACGCACGGAGGAAGGGAAAGGAGAGATGAAGGGTTGGCTCCGTCATTGGCAACAGCGACGCTATCAAACGACAGAAGGGTGAGTGACGCCCGCAACAGATGGGCTGCGACCCCATTGAAACATCCCCTGGGTGCAAACCAGCTTAACTTCGCACATATCTGAGCCCACACTGATCACCACCGCCAACCTACCAAAGCCACACACCCACCCACCTGTGCCATCATGAGCAACAGCCACGCCATCCCAAGACAGCAGGATGTCGGACGTCTGCCGCAGCTGGGCTGCAGAGGTGCTGAGAACTCTCAGACCTGGATTGCTCTCACACGCACATACCTGTGCCGTCATTTGCCACTGCCACGCCATCGAAGGACAGCAGGATGTCTGAGGTCTGCAGCAGCTGGGCGGCAGGCGAGGTGGGCTCCACCCGCCTCACCCTCACGCCCTTCTGCCCCGCCTCCATGCCGAGCGCCTTGCGCATGTCTGGATTCTCCATCTTCTGCCACTCCACGCCCAGGATGGGGAACCCTGGTGAGAACAAGGGGGGCGGAGCGAAAAGGAGCAGGGGTGAGTTGACAACCATTCATCACGCGCCCCAGTGCGTTCCTCCATGCCCAGCGCCTTGCGCATGTCTGGATTCGCCATCTTCTGCCACTCCACGCCCAGGATGGGGAACCCTGGCGAGCAAGGAGTAAGGAGGGAAAGGCCGAAAGAAGGGCAGGGAGAGCGAATTCAGACAATGTGAGATTTGTACTCGCGACACAATAAGCAGCCCTTCTGCCCCGCCTCCATGCCCAGCGCCTTGCACATGTCCGGATTCTCCATCTCCTGCCACTCCACTCCTAGAATCGGGAACCCTGGAGGGTAACGGGGGACAGGACGAGAGAATGGCAGATAGAGCGAGTTTGGGACACTGTTGGAGATGAAATTATGACAGCAGGCAGCTTCCATCCCCAGTGCCTTGCGCATGTCTGGATTCTCCATCTTATGCCACGCTAGGGAGGGGGGGGAGAGGGGGAGACCGGCAGGGAGGGGGAGAGTGTGAGAGCAGTGTTGCATGTAGAACGAATCACAAGGAAATTCATCATCCGCGCTCTGCCCCACCTCCATCCCCACCCCAATGCCTTGCGAACCCAAACCCCACCTACCTGTGTAGTGGCCGTTGCGGTCGTAATCCGAGATGAAGTGGTGGATGACGGGCGTGGGGATGATATACCCAATGTTCTCCGCCTCATCCCCCCGCATCGACTGGAACGCAATCCCCACACACTCGCCCGCCGCATTGAACGCCGGCCCGCCCGAGTTGCCCGAGTTGATGGCGGCGTCGATCTGCACGCCCAGCAGCTCCGACGCCCCGTGCACGTATGCTGTCACCTCGATGCGCGACACCACTCCACTGGTCACTGAGATTGTGTCGCCGCCTATGGGGTATCCAACCACTGTCACTGGGTCCTGGGGTTGAGGTGGGAGTGGGGAGAGCGGGGAGGGGGAAGGACGGATGGGAAGGGGGGGGTCGGGGGAAGATGGGGAGTGAAGGGGCCTGGGGATGATAGTGCCCCGAGTTGATGGCGGCGTCGATCTGCACGCCCAGCAGCTCCGACGCCCCGTGCACGTATGCTGTCACCTCGATGCGCGACACCACTCCACTGGTCACTGAGATTGTGTCGCCGCCTATGGGGTATCCAACCACTGTCACTGGGTCCTGGGGTTGAGGTGGGAGTGGGGAGAGCGGGGAGGGGGAAGGACGGATGGGAAGGGGAGGGTCGGGGGAAGATGGGGAGTGAAGGGGCCTGGGGATGGTAGTGCCCCGAGTTGATGGTGGCGTCGATCTGCACGCCCAGCAGCTCCGACGCCCCGTGCACGTACGCTGTCACCTCTATGCGCGACACCACCCCGCTTGTGACTGATATGGTGTCTCCACCAATCGGATACCCCACCACAGTCACTGGGTCCTGAGGGAGGGGAGGGGAGGGGCAGAGGGCAGGATGGAGGAAGAGGGTTGGGGGAAGAAGGGGAGTGAAGGGGCCTGCGGATGGGGATAGAGCCCCCTCTGAGTTGATGGCGGCGTCGATCTGCACGCCCAGCAGCTCCGACGCCCCGTGCACGTATGCTGTCACCTCGATTCGTGACACCACTCCGCTTGTGACTGAAATGGTGTCGCCTCCTATCGGATACCCAACCACCGTTACAGGGTCCTGGGGGGCGGGGGCAGAGAAAGAGGGAGGGGAAGGCCGGGGGAAGAGGGGGAGGGAGAGGGTTGGAGAAAAGAGGGGGAGTGTAGGGGCCTGGAGATGGGGATAGAGCTTCCCCCCAATTGATGGCGGCGTCGATCTGCACGCCCAGCAGCTCTGACGCCCCGTGCACGTGCGATGTCACTCTACGCGGGGAAAGTCCCCAACCTTACCTGGAGGTGCGGGAGAGACCCCAGCCATACCTGGAGGTGCGGGAGAGACCCCAGCCATACCTGGAGGTGCGGGAGAGACCCTAGCCATACCTGGAGGTGCGGGAGAGACCCCAGCCATACCTGGAGGTGCGGGAGAGACCCCAGCCATACCTGGAGGTGCGGGAGAGACCCCAGCCATACCTGGAGGTGCGGGAGAGACCCCAGCCATACCTGGAGGTGCGGGAGAGACCCCAGCCATACCTGGAGGTGCGGGAGAGACCCCAGCCATACCTGGAGGTGCGGGAGAGACCCCAGCCATACCTGGAGGTGCGGGAGAGACCCCAGCCATACCTGGAGGTGCGGGAGAGACCCCAGCTTGAGTGGCTGCACGTCCTTCCAGAACTCATCATCCTCCACTGACAGTAGCGCTGCATTCCGTGGGAGTGAGTGCAGCGCGGGACGAGAAGGGGAAAAGTGGGAGATGGGCGGGGTGAGGAGGAGACACATTAGTGGGTGAATGGCCAAGGCTGTATGTCCTTCCAGAATTCATCATCCTCCACTGAGAAGAGTGCTGGATTCCGCGAGTTTCAAGTGGGTGGGTCACAGAGAATGGGGCGACGCATGGGTGGAGGAGAGTGGGTAAGGATGGGGAAAAACGAGGGGTTGATGAGGACGATGAAAAGGACACATGGAAGATATATGAAGACGAACGGCTATGGGTCAAAACTAGGAAACAATATCGGATAACTAGCTGAAAGAAGGCAAGTACGCATACCTATATCGCACTCAGTGCCCACAGCAAGCACTGTTGCGAGGTACTTGGTGTCTGATCCCCTCTTCTTCACCTTCACCTGCGGGGAGGATCGTGGAGAAAGGGTGTGAGGCAAGGGTGTGGAGGAAAGGGCGTGAGGCAAGGGTGTGGAGGAAAGGGCGTGAGGCAAGGGTGTGGAGAAAAGGGCGTGAGGCAAGGGTGTGGAGGAAAGGGCGTGAGGCAAGGGTGTGGAGGAAAGGGCGTGAGGCAACGGTGTGGAGAAAAGGGCGTGAGGCAAGGGTGTGGAGAAAAGGGCGTGAGGCAAGGGTGTGGAGGAAAGAGCGTGAGGCAAGGGTGTGGAGGAAAGGGTGTGAGGCAAGGGTGTGGAGGAAAGGGCGTGAGGCAAGGGTGTGGAGAAAAGGGCGTGAGGCAAGGGTGTGGAGGAAAGGGCGTGAGGCAAGGGTGTGGAGAAAAGGGCGTGAGGCAAGGGTGTGGAGGAAACGAAAAGAATTACAGTTGAGGAGCTGGGGTTCCATAAGATAAGAACTCGCGGGCGTGGACTAAGATTCCTGCGAGTTAAGGAGTTTCTTGTACCTACTTGAATTTCTGGGAAGTTTTATCGTTTTGTTCCTTAAAGTTGCTTGAGCCGTTTCTTCAAGATCGTTGCTGTTCCATGCTGACTTTTGAGTCGACTCAAAAGTTAGATCGATGTATTCCATTATGAGTTTCGATCTCATTCTCACCTGCGTGGTGCTCATCTCATTCTCACCTGCGTGTGGTGTTCCACGGAGTGCGCGTTGGTGAGCACACGGCGGTTCTCAATGATGAACCCGCTGCTGTTGGAACTGTTGCGCGTGCAAGGGGAGAAGGGGGCGGGGAGGAGATGGCGGCGGAAAGGAAAGGGAGGGAGATGGTGAACGAGGAAAGATAAGGAGTGGGTACGGGAGAAAGGCGGAATGGTGAGGGAGGGAGGAGGAGAATGAGTCAAGGGCAGATGGGGGGAACCGAATCACCCGGCCTTTGCAAGCATTCAACCAACGTACCTGTACTGTCTCTTGCGCTGCCAGGGAAGGGAGAAGTTGGGGTCAGTGTGCACGCAGAACACCTTCACAACCGAGTCCAACGCCTTCTCATCCCTCACAATCCCACTCCCCGCTGCCCCAGCCTCATGCACCACATCCTGCAGCTCCTCCCCGCCTCTCCCCGCCCCTCCCGCCGCCCCCGCGACCCCAGCACCTCCCCCGCCCCTTCCCCCTTTCCCCGCTCCGCCTGTCTCCCCATCAGCATGGATAGGCGGAGCAGGGGACCGCTTCCTGGGGCCTCTTCCTTTCCCCGCGCCTGCCGCTCCCCCTGGGGACATGGGGCGGTCAGGGGAAACAAGTCCAGCGCCAGCCTTACCCCCTCTCCCTCGCGCCCCACGACCCCGTCCGCGAGCCCCCGCGCCTCTGCTTGCGCCTCCCGCTCCTCCCCTGCCTTCTCCGCGTGCTCTGCGCGCGCCCCGGCGTTGCTGCTCCTCCCCTGTTGGGGACTCCTCGCCTGAACCTCCCTGCTCTTCGTCCGCGTCCCCCTCGTCCTCTCGCTCAGCAGCCTCATCTGCCTTTTCCAGCTTTACCGTCTCCTCTGCTACCCCTTCTTCCCCTCCTTTCCCCGCTTCCCCTTCTTTCCCCGCTTTCCCTGCCTTCCCTGCTTTCCGTGCTGCTGGCGATGCTACTGCCTTTGCAGCTGCTGCTGCTGCGGCCTTTCCTGCTGGTGATGCTGCTGGTGGGAGGAGAGAGGAGAGGCGCGAGTGAGTCGTGTGCGAGGCACCAGTCTGTATGAAATTGCATTGACATCTGAAATAAATTCTATGACAGCGATCAAACGTCAAAACCATTGACATCTGCTCCTCCCCTCTCTTCCCCCTCCTCCCCCTTCCCCTTTTCCCCCTCCTCCTTCCTCTCCCACCTGTCCAACCCCAACCCCCCCACCTTTCCCCCCAACGCCTCCGCCAACTCACCTCCCTTGCCCTTCTCGCCCGACCGTCGTCTCTTAGCGTCCATCTCCCCGTCTGATGACCCTCGCTTCCTTCCCCGAGATTTCGGGGAACCTCCGTTTGGCAGGCTCGGGGACTCTCCGGGCTTCTGGCTCCGCAGCTGTCTGCCACTCTGCCCTGGCGACCCGTCAACCGCAGCAGGACCCCCAGGAGATTTTGCAGGAGATTTTCCAGGCAGCGCGAGCGGCGACGTAGCGATGGGAACCTCAGCAATGCTGGGGCTGTCGGAAAGTCCGCGCTGGGAAGCGGGGGAAGCGGCGGCGGCAGGAGAAGCCTTTCCGCGGGCAGAGGCGGATGCGGGGGACTTGCGAGAAGCCCCGCCTCTTCTGGCGCGCGGAGGCATGGCGCAATGCGGGGATGGTCGTCCGGGGATCCGACGGCGGTGATTAATAAGGAGGGGAGTCGATCGTACGGCGTGAAGTGGACGCGAGCAATTTGCAAGTCAACGGTAGAATGAATCACTGGAATCAGGAAAGGGAACATATGGAAAGAAAGAATGAAAAGTACATAGTTATAGGCGGCTTGACTTCAGGCTGGAAGATGCACTGAAGAATAAAAGTGTGCGAAGAAACGACCTGAACGGGTGTACGGCAGAGATGTAGGCACTAACACGGCGATAAGACCGGCGTGAAGAACCTCAACGTCTAATTGCTGCTACGACGATCGCGGCGAGATTTCAGACGAAGAGTATCAACGATCGGATTTTAATCAGAAAACCTCCTTCGCAAGGTGGATCTTGACTCGAACTAAAGCCCGAAACAGGCTGTTCTATTTACCGCTGAACCTGCAATAGTCGCAGAGTTCGCCGCTGTCGTTAGTTCTTAGGAATGCTTCACGCCGTTCGACTCATGCTTCCTGCTTCGAGGCTGAAACCTCGAGATTCTCCGCCTGGGGATTCTCGAACCTCGAGAAATGGCCAGCCTGATCAGAAACACACTTTCATATCGGCTCTCCCCTCCCCTCCCCACCACTGTTTTTCCGTTCCCGATTTCTGAGTCGCGCGCGAAATACGCCACTGCGCACAAACGGTCCGAAAAGTTTTTTCGGATCCTGGTTCCGCGCGCGACGATGTCAGGGGGAGGGGGTGGCGGAGTGCGCACGGAAAGGTATGCACGAGTTGCGCTGCGGAGTGAGATTGACGGGTTGCGGGGAATTCCGGTCGATGCCGTCCAAAAAGGCCTACAAAAATGCTTATGTCTCACACAATGTAGAGATGTCGATGCTGTGCACTGATATCGGAGAGTCTTATAATGTAGCAGTATGTTCCTCCACACACGCAAGCTGAGCACTGTCAGCGTTTCCTCATCACGAGTTCCCATAGCTCCCAAAATATTTCATCTTGCATTCACCACGACCTTTCAGCGCCGCAACTCAAGCTCTTCATGCAATGATTAAAACGCGACTCGCTACTGATATGCACAGATCACCCTTAGGAAAGCTCACGTGTTGTGCTCAATAGCAATAGCGTCGATTTTTCAGCTTATCGTCGAGTCGAAAGGTGGTCAAGCTGGCCAATAAGCTTGTCGTATTGGTTCGACAAGCAAAGTGGGCTTGATTTTTTTACAGCCGAGCTCGAGAGGACAAGGAAGCTCGCCACGCTCAACTATGGCTCCGAATTTCGGAGTGATCGTGCGCGCCGCATTAGCCGGGTCAGTGGCGGCTGCGGCTAAGATCGGCGGCGCGTTGAAAGCAGCTGGCGGAGTCAAGATTGGGTCCGCCGCCGCCGCTGCCGCCGCGCTGACCGCCGCTGCGACGACGATGGGGACCGGGAGTAACAGGCCAGAGGGAACCTCGGGATCTCCGATCGCCCCAGCAGCACCCAAGGCATGATGGAAGACCATCTGGGGTGGTCGATCATTAGGACGTCAGCTGAATGCATACGTTTGTGTAAACTCCCATACAGCATGACCGAACACCATAGCATTTCTAGTGAGAATAGGCTCTCCGTGACTCTTTAGGAAGATACGGCTTCTCGTTATGACAACCATTAGAAGACCAGAACTCAGGAACACGAACTGGAACAAGGCAAATCACCGTAGAGCTTTACAATTGCACACTACGTGTTTTGTACAACCCCATGCCCTTATTCCATACATCCCCGTCCACTATATGTTGGCTGTGCCTAGCTGGCGTGACTGGGGAAGGATATGCACAGAGTCATTGACTGTCTGCTGCCTCTGGTGCCCTCTGCACTGCTCCTGGTGCCCTCTGCACTGCTCCTGGTGCTCTCTGTGCTACCACTGGTGCTCTCTGTGCTACCACTGGTGCTCTCTGTGCTACCACTGGTGCTCTCTGTGCTGCCGCTGGTGCTCTCTGTGCTGCCGCTGGTGCCCTCTGCACTGCTCCTGGTGCTCTCTATGCTGCTCCTGGTGCTCTCCGCTGGTGCCCTCTGTACCATAGCTGATGGCGAGCTATGGGAAAAGAACGAGGTCAGGATGGCCATGCATGGGCTCGCACAGTACCCCGGCTGGTGTGCCCTACATGTCGGCTGTGCCCGGCTGCTGTGGCTGGGGTTGAACACGCACCGACAGCCGGCTGCCAGTGCCCTCCGTGCTGGTGCCCTCCGTGCTGGTGCCCTCCGTGCTGGTGCCCTCCGTGCCAGTGCCCTCCGTGCCAGTGCCCTCCGTGCCAGTGCCCTCCGTGCCAGTGCCCTCCGTGCCATAGCTGATGGCGAGCCATGGGAAGAGAAAGAGGTCCGGATGACCCTGGTGGATGTGCATCAGGCACATGGCATCATGGCACACGAGACATGGCATCATGGCATCATGTCATCATGGCACAAGAGACATGGCATCATGGCATCATGTCATCATGGCACAAGAGACATGGCATCATGGCATCATGTCATCATGGCACAAGAGACATGGCATCATGGCATCATGTCATCATGGCACATTGTATATGGAATATGCCACATGGCACACAGGGAGCAGCACACGGCACATGGTTCACATTAAGAGTTGCAACGTGAGCAGATAGAAAATCAATCAATACACCCAACGAGATAGCAAATCACTCTCTTGCACCTTCCCACACGCTCTTAGGCATCTACCGGTACTAGCACCTGACCTGACTCACAGCCTACGACGAACCCTCCTCACTTTAAAAAAATGAACCAGATGGATGACATTCGTTTTAAAGCATTTGATGAGACGTCTAAACAACTCTGAACCTGCCTCGACCTTTCAACTCACCAGATGGGAGACGTTAGCGAAGGGTGATTTGCTCCATTGGAATGGCGGCTGCTGGTCGTATGTGGGACCGCTTATTGCGAGTGCTGCCAGGCTGTGCTGTAACATGTGGTACCTGCAGGCATGATTGTGGTTAAATAAATGGTTAGCATTCTGGTTATCGTTACATTTATGTATATGGTAATGATTATGACTGTGGTACCTGCAGGCATGGTTATGGTTACCTTCATGGATAAAATTCTGGTTTTAGTTATGTATATGTCTATGGTAATTACTATAACTGTGGTAACGAACAGCACACATAAGGAGTCATACTGCACGCGCTGTCTGGCTGGGGTGTAACATGTGGTAAAGGCGAGATGGTTATGATTACGAACAACACAACAACCTTTTCTAGGAAAGACTTTGGCATGGCAATGATGTGGTAATGACATGGTGATGGAACATGGGGATGAGATGGTGATGGCATAGTGATGACATGGCCATGACATGGTGATGATGTGGCAACGAAAGGTGATGATGTGACGGTGACATGGCAATGATGGCATCGCCTAAGAAGCATGGTCGTGCACAATTGCCTGGTAACATTGGGTGCATGAATTTGGTAATTTAATGTTTGCAAGTCAGGGTGAATAGTAGACTTACCCGGTTATTTTGGAGTCCGTCTCTGCATGGTCCCTGAGGCCCAGGAATGGCAACTCATACTGCCCATCCGCCTCGTTCAAATCCCCACGCGCGGCAATTGCAATCTCTGATTGGCCAGGAAAAGGGCAGGATGAGAAAGTACAACAAAAGGAAAGAGTGGTTCGTGTGAATCCCAAAACGATGTTTGCTAGTGAGGGTGGATTGAGACGTCTCAAAAGACGTCTCAAAACATCCCAAAACGATGTTTGCTAGTGAGGGTGGATGGGAATGAAGGCGAATGAATGCAGGGGAGTGATTCAAACGACCAGTCGACTCAAAATATAAGTGGTGAGCAAAGCAAGAGGGATGCGCTAGCAGAGTAGGGTGGGGTGCAGTTGAAGAGTGGAAGGTGGGGTGTGAAGCAAAGGGAACGTGCCTGCAGAGTAGGGTGGGGTGCAGTTGCAGGCGGAGAGCGGGTCGTGCTTGAAGTCGTTGTATCGCATGAGGCGCTGCAGCGATGCCACACCCACCACCTGCCATCAGCGATGGGCGCATGGGGTTACAGGGGCCTGGGCACAATGGGGTACAGCGGCCCGGGGTTACAGGGGCCTGGGCACAATGGGGTACAGCGGCCCGGGGTTACAGGGGCCTGGGCACAATGGGGTACAGCGGCCCGGGGTTACAGGGGCCTGGGCACAATGGGGTACAGCGGCCCGGGGTTACAGGGGCCTGGGCACAATGGGGTACAGCGGCCCGGGGTTACAGGGGCCTGGGCACAATGGGGTACAGCGGCCCGGGGTTACAGGGGCCTGGGCACAATGGGGTACAGCGGCCCGGGGTTACAGGGGCCTGGGCACAATGGGGTACAGCGGCCCGGGGTTACAGGGGCCTGGGCACAATGGGGTACAGCGGCCCGGGGTTACAGGGGCCTAGGGTTACAGGGACCTAGGGTTACAGGGACCTAGGGTTACAGGGACCTAGGGTTACAGGGACCTAGGGTTACAGGGACCTAGGGTTACAGGGACCTAGGGTTACAGGGACCTAGGGTTACAGGGGCCTAGGGTTACAGGGACCTAGGGTTACAGGGGCCTAGGGTTACAGGGACCTAGGGTTACAGGGACCTAGGGTTACAGGGACCTAGGGTTACAGGGACCTAGGGTTACAGGGACCTAGGGTTACAGGGACCTAGGGTTACAGGGACCTAGGGTTACAAGGGCATGTGACCAGGGGCATGTGACCAGGGGCATGTGACCAGGGGCATGTGACCAGGGGCATGTGACCAGGGGCATGTGACCAGGGGCATGTGACCAGGGGCATGTGGTGTGGATACATGCACACATGGGCACTTGAATTGGTGACACTGGCACAGTAACACAATGATACATGGGCTCTTGGAAGCACAGAGACCACCCACCCTGCTGTTCAAAGCGGAACACCTTTAGACTGTTAAAAAACAGATAAAGAGTGGCTCTGTGGTGCCCCACCCACACACTCACTTGCCCACACGCCCGCCCACCCACTTGCCCACACGCCCGCCCACCCACTTGCCCACCTACCGGCCCGTCCACTTGCCCACCTGCCCGCCCGTCCACTTGCCCACTCAACCACCCACCCACCCACCCACCCACCCACCCACCCACCCACCCACCCACCCATCCACCCACCCACCCACCCACCCATCCACCCACCCACCCACCCACCCATCCACCCACCCACCCACCCACTCACCCACCCACCCACCCACTCACCCACCCACCCACCCACCCACCCACCCACCCACCCACCCACCCACCCACCCACCCACCCACCCACCTACCCACCCACCCACCCACCCACCCACCCACCCACCCACCCACCCACCCACCCACCCACTCACCCACCCACCCACCCACCCACCCACCTACCGTGATTCCTGCAGTGAAGACCCACCTTGCCGTGGTCCCTGCGGAACAACTTGGCTCGCGGGCACTGCGAGTGGGAGAACCACGAGCCATGGCGCCGCTCTGATGGATGGGTGCGGTGCGGTGTGGTGTGGTGTGGTGTGGGATGGTGTGGCATAACATGGTATAGCATGGTACGGGACAGTGTGGCATGGTGTGGGCATGGCGTAGGCATGGTGCGGAACGGTGTGGAATGGTGTGGCATGGTGCGGCACTGTGTGGCATGGTGTGGCATGGTGTGGCATGGTGCGGCACAGTGTGGCACGGTGTGGCACGGTGTGGCATGGTGTGGCATGGTGTGGCATGGCATGGCATACCAGGTGAGACGCATGCGCATGAAGGGTGAATTCGACCACTCTAATTCGCGTACCCAGATCGGCGAATCCACTGAGGTTGAAGATCGCGGGGAAGGCCGGGTTGTTGTACGACGCCCAGTACCCCTCGTCACGCAGGTGGGCGCTCATATCCTCCGCTACAATGTGCCTGCAGGTAAGACGGGGTGGGAGAAGGGGTGGGAGAAGGGGTAGGAGACGGGGTGGGAGAAGGGGTGGGAGAAGGGGTAGGAGACGGGGTGGGAGAAGGGGTGGGAGAAGGGGTGGGAGAAGGGGTGGGAGAAGGGGTGGGAGAAGGATGGAAGGCCGGGTTGTTGTTGTTTGACGCCCAGTAGCCCTCCCCTCACAGGTGGGCGCTCATAACTCGCCTCACAGGTGGGCGCTCATATCTCCCCTCACAGGTGGGCGCTCATATCTCGCCTCGCACAACAATGTGCCTGCAGCAAGTGGACAAGGGAGACGCAGGCAAACATGGGGGAATTATTGTAGGCGCCTCAAAGAATCATCCAGTGCTTACCCACACATGCCACATATGACCTAGCCCCATGTAACGCCTACCCCATATATAACGCCTCATATAACGCCTATCCCATATACCACCTACCCATATAACACCTACCCCAAACTACCCCATATGTAGCACTAACCCTGGTAGTTACCCAAGCACCCAGGGGTGTTATCCGGGGGAGGTAGGCCTGGTTGAAAGAGCTTGTAATCCACCACCATCCATTGGTTGTTGTACGCGCTGCACCCGACACAACCCACCCCAAATGACACCTATTTCATACAACACCACCTTCCCATCCCACCATGCAAACCACATAACACCCACCCTGGCAGCTGCTCAAGCACCCAGAGGGTGTCATCCGGGGGAGGTAGGCCTGGGAGGAAGAGCTTGTAATCCACCACCATCCACTGATTGTTGTACGTGCCGCTGTTGTGCCGTGAGAATACGTCCACCCATTGCCGCCCGCTGCTCGCCACCCGGTTGGCCACCACGTTGCGAATCCACTCCAAGACCTGCGGGCAGGGAGAGAGAGCGTAGAGGCAGGGGTTGAGGGGGAGAAAGAGAACAGTAAAAGAACAGTGAGAGGGATCAACAATAAGGAAAGAAGAAGAAGAAGAAGAAGAAGAAGAAGAAGAAGAAGAAGAAGAAGAAGAAGAAGAAGAAGAAGAAGAAGAAGAAGAAGAAGAAGAAGAAGAAGAAGAAGAAGAAGAAGAAGAAGAAGAAGAAGAAGAAGAAGAAGAAGAAGAAGAAGAAGAAGAAGAAGAAGAAGAAGAAGAAGAAGAAGAAGAAGAAGAAGAAGAAGAAGAAGAAGAAGAAGAAGAAGAAGAAGAAGAAGAAGAAGAAGAAGAAGAAAAAAACAAAAAAAAACAGAACCAATTAGTTGCTTGTGTTGGGCAGGCCTGGGATGATGAAATGGCGTGTTGATTGGATGAGAAACGAACCACTTATAACGCCCATTGACCCACCCACTGTCCCCTTTGTCACACACACCCCTCTCACGCATCACCATTCACCCCTCTCACGCATCACCATTGACCCCTCTCACGCATCACCATTCACCCCTCTCACGCATCACCATTGACCCCTCTCACGCATCACCACACCGCAGTCGACTCACCGTGCCATTGGCCCGCACGTAGCGCCGGTACAGCTCAGCGTTGTTATTCCCTATGGTGGTCTCCTGGTGACACGTGGCGACCAATGGAGGTGGGAGGTCGGGACACAACGTGCCAAAAAGATATGCGATCGGATGTTTGTTAGATGTTTGTGATTGCATGCCCATCAGATGGCTGCATGTCCATCAGACGGCTGCATGCCCATCAGACGGCTGCATGCCCATCAGACGGCTGCATACCCATCAGACGGCTGCATGCCCATCAGACGGCTGCATGCCCATCAGACGGCTGCATGCCCATCAGACGGCTGCATGCCCATCAGACGGCTGCATGCCCATCAGACGGCTGCATGCCCATCAGACGGCTGCATGCCCATCAGACGGCTGCATGCCCATCAGACGGCTGCATGCCCATCAGACGGCTGCATGCCCATCAGACGGCTGCATGCCCATCAGACGGCTGCATGCCCATCAGACGGCTACATGCCCAACAGACGGCTGCATGTCAGTCATGAAGGTCACAAGGAGCATGCATCAACTATTGAGACGCCTCAGAAAAAATATTCATGCCCATCATGTGGCTGCATGTCAATCATACACATCTAAGGGAGCATGCGCTAGCCTTGCTCAGCAGCATATGAATGGACTCATACATACCCGAAGAAGCGAACAAAGCGTGTCACCAGAGCAAGTGTGCTGCTCACTTCTCGGCTAATGATGTCGGAAAAAAACGTGTTTCCCCTTCTCCCTGCCTCCCCTCTTTCCCTGCCTCCCCCATTCCCCCCGCCTCTACTACCCACGCTACCAGCCTGGTGGCACCCCATAGAGTACCTGAATTGCCAGCCTGGTGTAGCGAGGGTGTTTTTGAGACGTCTCAAAAACACCCTCGCCCCATAGATTACCTGAATTGCCAGCCTGGCACTGGTGATGTAAAAATCGTCGCCGGAAAACAGACGGCCGGGATAGCTGGCGAACGACATGGCATGACCTGGGATGACGTCAGCAGCTGACGTGGCAGCAGCAGCAGCGTTGATGTTGATTGGTGGATTTAGCTGGAATGAGAAATCGTAGATCCTGGACGGGAGGTGAGTGGGAGTCGATATAGGATGGGGGTAGAGGGGGCAACAGTGGAGGTAGGTGAGAAGGGAGAGAAGGGAGGGGGGCATACGAGAAAGGAGGGGGGCATACGAGGAAGGAGGGGGGCATACGAGAAAGGAGGGGGGCATACGAGAAAGGAGGGGGGCATACGAAGAGAGAAGAGCGAAGGAAAGGAGGGAGAGGAGGGGAGAAGCGATATCGGCAGCAAGGGAGAAGGAACCACAGGGCGAAGGAACCACAGGGCGAACTGACTTGACTTGTGGATGCGAAACATGGCCTTGCAGCAGCAGAAGGTGAGGGGCAGAGGGCATAGCTGGCACGAGGGGCATGATGGGTAGGGGGCATGGGGGCATGGTGGCATGGGGGAAACGGCATGGTGAGCATGGCGGCATGGGAAGCATGGGAGGGTAGGGCAAGGGGGACAATGGGGCTATGGGGGGAAGCAAAGGGGCATGGGGGGCATTTGGGGGATGGTGGCATGGGGGGTCAGGCATGGGGGCATGGGAGCATGGGGGGCATGGGAGCAAGGGGAAAAGGGAGGGAAAACTGACTTGTAGATGCGAAGCATGGTCTCGAGGCGAGTCCACGTGGCTTGAGCCGTGAGCAGGTCCGCGTTGCCAGGCAGTAGCTGGTGTGGTGGAGTGCGGGACACAGCGGTGCAGGGCAGCGCATAGGGGATGCAGGGCAGAGCAAGCATGTGGGTTGAAGGGTACGGTAGGGAAGGGTAGGGTTGGGTAGGGTAGGGTAGGGTAGGGTAGGGTAGGGTAGGGTAGGGTAGGGTAGGGTAGGGTAGGGTAGGGTAGGGTAGGGAAGGGTAGGGTTGGGTAGGGTAGGGTAGGGTAGGGTAGGGTAGGGTAGGATAGGGTAGGGTAGGGTAGGGTAGGGTAGGGTAGGGAAGAAACGGCATGCATGTATGCATGCAGACGAAGACTGTTTCCTGGAAGAACGACCGCGCGCATAAAAGCTGGAAACGAACTGCTCTTAAGCTTGGGAATAAGTCTGCAAAAACAGGCTCACCTTGATAATGGCAGAGCATGCATCTGGGAGGACGAGCATAAGTCGTTCCTTCACACCCTCGCTCCCCTTGCTGTCCCCATTGCTGCCCCCATCAGCCCCATCGCTCCTGCTTCCATTGTTGTCACCATCCGCGTCAGTGCTGGCATGGTCCGCGTGTGCAGCATGCGCTATATCGAGTACGTACTGTAGATCCTGGATGTCCCCGTGCAGATTCATGATGTCAAAGTCAATGGCTGGCGGTGGTGAGCAGTAGAAAGGAGTGCAGTGCGGTGAGCGACAGGAAGACGTGGAGTGAGAAGTGAAAGGAAATGAAACAGTGAAAAAGATGTGAACTGGTGACGTGAAGACTGGAGGGCAGATGTGCATGATGAGGTTGTTAGTGTTAAGCCCTCAGCACAATTCTAACAAAGGTGAGGTGAGGGCGCATGTGATCAGAGGTCAAATAGGTCCTTGAATCAACAGGCCCATGCATGGGTGCAAGGGTGCATGCGTGCATGGGTGCATAGATGCATGGATGCATGCATGAATGCATTCATGGGTGCATTGATGCATGGATGCATGCATGAATGCATTCATGGGTGCATAGATGCATGGATGCATGCATGAATGCATGCATAGGTGCATAGATGCAGGATGCATGCATGAATGCATTCATGGGTGCATAGATGCATGGATGCATGCATGAATGCATGCATGGGTGCATAGATGCAGGATGCATGCATGAATGCATTCATGGGTGCATAGATGCATGGATGCATGCATGAATGCATTCATGGGTGCATAGATGCATGAATGCATGCATGGGTGCATAGATGCATGGATGCATTCATGGGTGCATAGATGCATGGATGCATTCATGGGTGCATAGATGCATGGATGCATTCATGGGTGCATAGATGCATGAATGCATGCATGGGTGCGCCCCACCTTGCAGCCTCTCTTCAGGCGTGACAGCGTCGTTAAAGCCCATGTGCAGGCCCCTCACCTGCTCCAGCACCAAACCCACCTACCGTGGGATGAGAGGGGAGGGATGGAAGGGAGGCGAAGCACGATGCAATCTAAGGTTGTTAAGCGGGATAGGCCTGGCCACTACAAGATAAGTGTGAAGGCGAGTGATTATAAGGTGCTTAAAAAGCAAGATTTGAACTTTTTAATATCACAAGAGGACTGTGTGGCAATATCACAACCTTCGCCCCCAACTTCCCTTCCCTTCCCCCCCCCACCTGCCACCAGAACGTCCTATCCTCGTCCGCCACGTCACCAGCTTCGGCGGCAGCGACCATATCCTCCATATAAGCGCGATTCGTTTGCAGGTACTGCAGCAGGCGCGGAGAACGCTTCAATTTGCCAAACTCGTTAACGAAATGCTGCTGCATGGGGAGTGACGTCAACTGTCCCTCCGCGTATCCCGCTGCAAACGCCTGATCCTTGCTGGAGCACTTCGCGTTGGTCACTACGGACAAGAAGTGCCACCCAACTTGTAGCATTGACTCTTGGAAAATACCCCACGCGCATTCCGCCGCTCCAGATTCCTCCCGCTCTCCGTGCTCCCCTCCCCCCTGCTCCCCCGGTTCCCCCTGCTCCCTCTTCGCCCTGTTCCCTGGTCCCCTCTGCCCTTCCTGTTCCCCGTCTACTCCGCACTCCGCACGGCCCTCCCCGGATTCCGCTCGCGCTTTCTCGTTCTGGATCCATGGGCTTTCTGCTTTCCTTTTCGTTACTCTAACGGACGTGACTTCGCCAGAAGAACCTCTTTCTAGAATCACACCCAAGCGAATCGCGTGCGACGGGAGCGAGAACTCTGACGGCTGCCACGTGGAAGAACGTAAGTGGCTGTCAAAATTCCCCGCGGAGACTGAACCGAAGGGACGGGATGCGGCGCGAACCGTGCTAACGGCAAGCGCGAGGATCAAGAAACAGAAACATGAGATGCGAAGGCACGCTGTGAAAAATCCTGCCAGCCCCACGGAAAGCGAGGGCGCCATGACGAGAAATGCTGCTCCTTGTTGCTGTTGCTGTTCCCGACGACGACGAAGACGATAGGCGCGAGGCGACACGCGACGGCAGTCCTGAGAAATACAGAATTTGGTCGAGAATGCATATTTCTGTTCTTATAGGCCTCAAATACGGAATCCGCTAACGTGAAAGGATGAACACTCAATATTTGACATACCGTTAAAAAAACATTCGAAATTGGATGTCCGTCAATTGATATTCATAAGGCAGTTCCAGCATGAACTGTAAGTCAAATTAAAACGAGGGTGCAGAGTTGAAGAAAACGCAATGATTTGACCCTCTGGCTAGTGCGCATCATGTATGCCACTAGTATTTCGCACCCTGCCATGGAGCATTGGAAATGCTATGAAATAATATTTCATCATTTATCATTCTCCATGTCGGTCATGTACATGGATTGTTAGTTTACTAGACAGCATGCTATAACCCCCGGCATGGGGATTTTTATTCATTAGGGACGTCTAAGGATTTGTGATATCAAAATGCCTCGGGTCAGGTAAGATCAACACTCCAGTTAAACAAACCGTCGCTGGAAGTTACCCAGCTGTCTCTCCTAACAAATCCTTGAGTGTAGCTTTGTCCTCCTGCTTGCTGAGGAAGGAGTCAAAACTGGTGGTGACAGGTGAGAGTTACAGGGTGGTGAAACGGGGGTAGGGAAGGACCCAAGGTTAACAGGGTCAAGAAAAAGAATCAAACGGACGAAAACAGTGTCTTTCCTGATTGACATGACACACACGGGGAAAACAGAAAAGTCGGAAAAAAGGATTGTGAAGGGACGACTTTTGAGGCGCCTCAAAAGTCGGAAAAAAGGGTCGTAAAGGGGCTGTGCTGGAAAGACAAGAAATGAACGAAACGAAGAGGCAAGCAACGACCTACCCTGCGAGCAGAGGGAGCTGGTTGGAGGCTGCGAAGAGTGACGCCAGTGAATGCAGCAGGTCTGAGCGAGTAGCCAACACTGCACCACCGCTCACCACCGCTCCAACGCCCACTGGCACCGCTGCTGCTGGCTGAGAAGCAGAGGAAAAGACGGGCTGCTGCTGCTGCTGGTTTGGGGGCTGCCGAACCTGTGCTCGGCTTTTTCGAAACTCACGGAGCAGGCAGAGGAATGTTTGGAAGTCCGGCGGTGGCAGGGAAGTTTGCACCACACTCAGGTACTCGCGTGCCCGCCTGTTCTCCTCCTCCTTCGCAGCAAGGCTTTTTTTTGCACCGTTCCCGTCCCTGGTGGCAAGACTCCCTGCACCATTCCCTTGCAAAGCTACTGCTCTTCTGCTCCCTGCACCGCCCCCCTGGCAGCTTGCTACTCCTCTGCTCCTGAGGGGGCCCTCTGGTGCTAGACATTCACCCCGTGGGCCTGCCGAGGATTCTTCCTTCTGAGAGGCTCCTCTGCTGCCCCGCTGCTGCCCCATTGGTGCAGTTTCATCTCCGGTCCGAGGTGGTGCACCCCCGCTGCCACAACCGCCGGGGTCTCTCAGGCAATCCCCATCGCCCAGTGCTGCTCCTATCCCTGCTTCTCCTGCGCCTGCTAGTCCTATGTCTGCTTCACTTTGCTGCTCGCTCCACTCTCTTCCTTCCCCGCTCGCCTTTCTCTTCCCTGCATCTCCACCCTTTATCTTCCTCTCTGAATCTGTACCGTTCATCCTCATCTCAACATCTCCAATCCTCATTGCTGCATCTCCACCCTCCATCCGCCTCTCTGCATCGTCACCTTTTGCCCCCTCTGCTCCTCTCCTTCCCATTCCACTTCTATCCTCCACCCGTCCATCCTGCAAAGCTTCTTCCACATCCCGCCTCCTCTTCCCCCCCGCCCGCCCTGTCCCTCTCCTCTCTTTATCGGCCTCAGGGGGATCAGCGGGAGGCAAAGCAGAGGGCACAGGCGGGGAGCAGCAGGGAGGAGCAGCAGCAGCAGGGTCGGGTGGGTCACAGTCTTGAGTCAAGTCAATGACGGGAGAGGCAGGGGAGACACCATTCGTAGCAGACGGGAGAGGAGGGGACGCGGGAGGGGAGCAGCAGGGAGGAGAAGCAACAGGCTCGGGTGACGCGCAGTCTTGAGTCAATTCGATGGTGGGAGAGGCAGGGGAGACACATTTCGTGGTTGACTTTCGTATGGTGGTGGAATAAGCTTTGCAGGCTGGTTGGGGTGGCGTGGCTGGTTCTTGCTGGGTCGCTGGTAGGTGTTGAGTGCTGGGTGCTTGTGGTCTCAGGGGTGCTGCTAGTAGTGCGCTTGACTCATGCTGCTTGGATGCTTTTTGCTGCCGCACTTGAGATGTCTCAAGATTAGCTGATACATTTGCATTGGGTGCAGGCTGGTGTGTGCTCACGTGGGCACGAGCAGCAGCGAGAAGGGAGGAGGTGGAGGTTACAGGCAGGCGGGGAATGGTGGGGGAGAAGAGAGACGGCACTCGCGAGTTCTGTTGTGAGAGACGGGCACACATAGGATACGGATAGGGGCGGGAAAATGGATAAGTTGGAGGAGTGAAAAGGGAGGAGGCAAGGAGGAATATGCAGAGAAAAAGCAGATTGCTTGGGACGTCTCAGAACAAAGGATAATCGTTGCACGTCAAGAGGATATTGACACCCTTTGCGAGGTGACTTTTGAGTCGACTCAAAAGTCTACTCAAAAGTCGACTCAAAAGTCTACTCAAAAGTCGACTCAAAAGTCTACTCAAAAGTCGACTCAAAAGTCGACTCAAAAGTCTACTCAAAAGTCCACTCAAAAGTCTACTCAAAAGTCGACTCAAAAGTCGACTCAAAAGTCTACTCAAAAGTCTACTCAAAAGTCACCTTGTTGAAAGTCAAGAGGATAGTGACACCCTCTGCAGCAATTTCAAAGCGAGCCATCGACCTGCGAAGACACACACATGTCTGCTCAAGTCACTCGACCTACAGTCAAGAGTGCTGAGTCACATCCGGATATCAGTGCCTTGACTCATACCCAGTGATTAGCTTTATGGGCGTGTTTTGAGTCGTTCAGAACACACCTCAAAAGTGCTGAGTCGAATCCAGATATGAGCGCATTGACCAAAACACAATATCTGGCTTAACCCTACACACAGAGTGTGAGTGGCACCCCCACTACCTTACCACACACACATTACTGAAGGGCGTAATCTGCAAACTCATACGAGTATGCATAAAAGCCATACCACACTCACCCCTATAATGCTTATTCCCCTCCACGCACCTTCCCTGCCGTGCGACCCTCAAGCTTCACCTCTCCACCCGCCTGACTCCTGTCAACGCCTCCTGCACCATTTCTGTCTCTGCCAGCAACCTCGTTCCCATCGCCACTGCTGTCTTTCCCAATCGTGCCCGCTCCCTGCCGCCTTGCTGCCGACACCTCATTGGCAGCTGGCACCAGCAAGGGGTCTGGCGCATTGGGGGTGGGTGGATGAGTGCAGCAGATGAGATAATATGGGAGAAACCGTGGCATCTTTTGAAAGCAGGGAACAGAGGCATGAGGAAGCTAGCTGTAAATGAGTCGGTTTTTGAGTCGACTCAAAAACCGACTCACTACACGCGGGCATCTTTTGAAAGCAGGGAACAGAGGCATGAGGAAGCTAGCTGTAAATGGTGGATGCCCTCTGCCCTCTGCCCACTGCCCGCAGATCGTGGCTCAGTCGCAATGCACGTGCTCAACCTTGCTACACGTTTTTCGATCCTGCTAGGTACTGCAGGGTACTGCTGGGCTTGCCTCGGAGCAACCTACCTGTGTCTAGCAGGGACCGGCTGGAGGGAAACGGGGGAAGAACATCCATTCCTGGCAGACCAGCAGCAGCAGCTTCTGCAGCATGCTTGGAGGTCATGGGGCACGTGCCGGTGGTGGGAGCAGCAGCAGCAGTGACAGCAGCAGTGGCAGCAGCAGGATGCATGTGGGTGGGCGAACGGGTGGGGCTTGGGGCGGTGGGGTCTGGGCAGGCGGGCTTGGGGCAGGCTCCATTGGGCTGGCTGCGGAAGAACTTGGTGAGGGAGAATGCCGCCTCGCCGAACCCAGTGTAGACCTGATGATGGAGGGAAAAGAGAGGGGAATTCGGGGGTAGTTAGGACTGGAAGGCCGCGGATGGGGTGGGTTTCGTTGGGTTGGTTGCAGAAGAACTTGGTGAGGGAGAAGGCCGCCTCGCCGAACCCACTGTAGACCTGATGGTTGGTGGGGAGGAGGGGGTGGTTTGGACCGAAAGGGCACTTGCGTTGGAACACGGGCGAGAAGTCGACAATGCTGAAACGGGAGTGAGAGGAGCGCATAGAGAGCGAACGAGGTGAAGAGGGGGGAAGGGCAGCACATACGGTCAAAGAATCAGGTGGCAGAGGCGTAGAGAGAAGGAGAAAGCAAGACAGAAGGAGAAAGCAAGACAGAAGGAGAAAGCAAGACAGAAGGAGAAAGCAAGACAGAAGGAGAAAGCAAGACAGAAGGAGAAAGCAAGACAGAAGGGGAAAGCAAGACAGAAGGAGAAAGCAAGACAGAAGGAGAAAGCAAGACAGAAGGAGAAAGCAAGACAGAAGGAGAAAGCAAGACAGAAGGAGAAAGCAAGACAGAAGGAGAAAGCAAGACAGAAGGAGAAAGCAAGACAGAAGGAGAAAGCAAGACAGAAGGAGAAAGCAAGACAGAAGGAGAAAGCAAGACAGAAGGAGAAAGCAAGACAGAAGGAGAAAGCAAGACAGAAGGAGAAAGCAAGACAGAAGGAGAAAGCAAGACAGAAGGGGAAAGCAAGACAGAAGGAGAAAGCAAGACAGAAGGAGAAAGCAAGACAGAAGGAGAAAGCAAGACAGAAGGAGAAAGCAAGACAGAAGGAGAAAGCAAGACAGAAGGAGAAAGCAAGACAGAAGGGGAAAGCAAGACAGAAGGGGGAGCCACCTTGAGAGCAGGGCGGATCCACATGGAGAGACGGTCCTTGAGCTTGGGCTCTGCAAACCTGATTGGGGGACGATGGGGACAGATGGGAGAGATGTGCGCAGGGAAGATGGATAAAAATGTGGAAGATAAATCAACATGGAGAGGCGGTCCTTGAGCTTGGGCTCTGCAAACCTGATGGGGCACTTGCGGGACATGCAGAACATGGGGGTGATGGGGCAGATGGGGCAGATGGGAAAGGATGGGGACAGATGGGGGAGATGGGCAAGGATGGGGACAGATGGGAGAGATGGGCAAGGATGGGGGCAGATGGGAGCAGAAGAGGCAGATGGTAAACACATTCACACACATCTCATGCAGCCCAACTATCCCCTTCCCTCACGCCCACCTCTCATCCAGCAGGACAATCGAGCCAAAGTCGTGGCGGCGGCGAATCACTTTCAAACACGTGTCACCCAGCCCAACTCCCCCCTCCCCTCCCCCCTCGCCCACCTCTCGTCCAGCAGGATGATGGGGCCAAAGTCATGGCGGTGGCAAAACATCACGATCACACACCCCCCCCTTCTCCCTCCCCCATACTTTCCCCTCCCTCCTCGCCCCACCTCTCGTCCAGCAGGATGATGGAGCCAAAGTCATGGCGGTGGCGAATCACTCGCCCCACGGCTTGGTTCACGGCTCGTATGGCGTCGAGCGTGTACCACTGCGCTCCTGATACTGGCGACTGGTGGGATGGAAGTGGTGGCGCGGGGCAGGCGAGGAAGGATGAGCAGAAGAGGAGGGAGAGGAGGCAGGTGAGGAACGATAGGATGGATGGGAGGCAGAAGATGAGGGAGAGGAGGCAGAAGATGAGGGAGAGGAGGCAGAAGATGAGGGATAGGAGGCAGAAGAGGAGGGATAGGAGGCAGAAGAGGAGGGAGAGGAGGCAGGAGAGGAGGGAGAGGAGGCAGGAGGAGGGAGAGGAGGCAGAAGAGGAGGTGTGGAGGCAGACGAAGAAGGAGTAAATCAGTTGACCCAGTGGTTGACAACATTAGGCAGCTACAGAGAAGCCACAAGATGATCGTACCTAACCAGCATGTTAACCTCCTGCAACATACTCATGGGGTGAGACGTGCTTACGATGGAAGAAGACTAAGGCAAAAGCCGCTGTCGGTACGGGTGGTGCTGGTAGGCTGGCTGTTAGAGTTGTGACATAGTCACATGGCAACATGTGCTTACAATGGCAGCAGAGTTGGAAGCAAAGACATCTGGATGCTGGTACAGGTGGTGCTGGTGGGCCGTGACGCGCTCATCCAGATACTCCTTCTTTAGCACCACCTGGTGGGATAGAGCCGAGAGACACAAACATGGAAAGATCGTTTGAGAAAGTATGGCGTAAGAAAGAGAAGTGTTTGCTGGTGGTGGTGGTGGGCCGTGACGCGCTCATCCAGATACTCTTTCTTCAGCACCACCTGGTGGGATTGAATCGAGAGAGACAAACGATCACCGATTGATAATGGTGCTGGTGGGAGGTTCGGCTGGTACAGGTGGTGCTGGTGGGGTGGCCTGTGACATACTCTTTTTTCAGCACCACCTGGTGGCGGGATAGCAAGAGAGACAGAGACAAACGAGGAAAGAACATTTGATACAAAAAATGTGCTGGTGGGCCGTGACCCGCTCGTCCAGGTACTCTTTTCCACCTGACTGTGGGATATAGATTTAGGGAGAGAAGAAAATGGTGTAAATATTGTTTTCACTGCATAACAAGGACCGGAAATTTATCGATGAGAGCGAACAAAGGGATTTCTGGTCGACTCAAAAGCGGACTTGGTAAGCACCCAGAAAATTGATGCAAACACACAAGACACGGCTGGTCTCGAAGCACATTCGGTCAAAATAATCGCAGCAAGACTGACCTGCGGGCTGAGTTGCTGTGCATATGGGATGCCCGTGATGACAACAGCACGGGACAGATGGTCGGCGAAGTCGATTCCCTCACTCACCTGCTCAGAACAATAGGGGTTGCATGCGGCAATTCAAGCATTTGCGCAGACTGAACAAATGTATGGACGCAAAAGGACATGAACGCATGCATAGATCCATGCTGACATTAGCAACACACACGCCATGCATGCATGTTGTGGACTTTAAATTCCCTGTTCGGCTGGTAATGGATTCCTTTTTTAAAGAACATGGCAATCACACAACAATACGAGCTCCAATCTTCATTCTCCTGGAAACGTCTAAAAACGGAATTCCCGAAAGCTTGTGAAAGGGTCTGGGAAGGTCTGAAACAGTATAAAAAAGCATGTACTGACCTTGCCCCTGCACACGGCAAACAGCACAGCCCCCTTTGACCCCTCCTCCTCTAGCTTCCTCACGTAGTCCTGATGGGCGGGGATGGGCGAAGAGGGGTTGGAAAGGGTCAAATGGACAAGAATAAGGAGGCTTGCAGCAGCGAGAGCAAAGCAGGGGACAAAATGTGCCAATGCGTGAGGAGCCGTAAGGCACAGATGTGAGGAACAGGCGTAAAAGGGAAAGACACAAGGGGCAAAGGGCTCCTTGCAATGAGGAGGTGTGGGGAAGGGGGACACACGTTAGAAAATGTTTCTTGATCCATGCACAAGCACTCGCTGCCGCGTGCCCCATCCCGTCTCAAGTGCACAAGATGTTTCTCGCCCTCATCAAATGTACCTTCTTGCCTGCACCAGCAGCGCCGAGTCCCTTGGCTGCACCACTGCCTGCTTCTGCATGCCGATGCTCACATGCATTTATGCTCACAGCACGCCTATGGTCACATGATACAATGAAGGCACACGTGCCACGCCTATGCTGCCACTCTCAGGCACACGTTCTCGTCCCTCATCAGACCTACCTCCCCTGGCTTCGCCAAGCAGCGCCGAATCTCGTGGCTCCACCACTGCTTGCTTCTACCTCGCCGAACCTTGCTTCCTGGCCTAATGAAGCACAATCACCTCTCTTGCAGAACCTACCTCCCTGGCTTCACCAAGAAGTGCCGAGTCCCGTGGCTCCACCACAGCCAGAAGCAGCCTGCTTCTGCATGCCGATGCGCACATGCATTCATGCTCACAGCACGCCTATGGTACCTAATCAGACCTACCTCCCTGGCTTCACCAAGCAGTGCCGAATCCCGTGGCTCCACCACTACCTGCTTCTGCAAGCCAATGCGCTGCCACACCGATAATGCTGCCGAATTGTGCCGCCCTGCAGGCTGGGCGGCAGGGAGCGAAAGGGATACAGGGTGCGTGAGTAGGAAGGAGGTGATGAAGGAAGGACAAGCAAAGAGGTGCCATGATAGGATGCCAGGCAGGAGAAGGACGATATGTTTATTGATGGTTGATTGGTAGCGGAAGGATAAGTGGCAGATGAGGATAAGTGGTGTGCTTTTACCAAGGTTTTGGAAAGAAACATGAGGGTAGTAGAAAAAGGCAGTAAAGAAGGCGAATCCTCAGCGAGTTTTATATTTTTTTGAGAGAAACATGATGAAAACGGTTGCAGCTAATGCCGCTGTGGCAGAATGGGAGAGGTGTGAGGGCAGTGTGAAGGGAGGTGTGTGACGGAGATGTGAGAAAGGTTTGAGGGAGGGGTTCAATAAAGGTCTGTGAGGGAGGTGAAGAGAGCAGACGTACGGGCAGCTGCCAGGCCTGAATTGACGAGTCCATGCATGAGTAGGAGGGGAAGAAGACAAGCACGCCGCCCGGGACGATGCGGCATATGTTGACTGCGGGCGGTACAGACAGGGAAGGGGAGGGGGAAGGAGAAGGAGAGAAAGGGAGGGTGAAAGGGAAGGGGAAGGGGAAGGGTGAGCATGCTTATAGCAAATCACTGTTCTGACGAAGCACACTATGCAGTGCACACCTATAACTAGGCTCACCTATAATGAGACGAACCAATAGCCTAAATGTAACGATTCACACCTAAAGCAAAGCAAATTATTCTTTTAGATTCACGACACACGCTTGTAACAAAGCGCACATAAAAGAAAGCACACCTATAGCAGAGCCCATGTCGTTCAGGTAATCGTGTTGGGAGCGCGTCTTAAAGCCCGAGTTGAGGACCACCCCTGATGGCCCCACAGGTAACACTCCCGCCCACACCTGCTCCTGTGTGATCACGTGGCTGTTCTCCAGCTGCTGCTGAAAGGGCCTGTGAATTGATGGGGGATTAGGAAGAAGGGTCAGAAAGGGTGGGGGGGGGGGGGGTGATATAGTGTTCCTACCAGCTGGCAACACCTGCTCCTGGCTGATCACACGCTTGTTCTCCAGCTGCTGAGAGGGCCTGCTTAAAACGGAGAGGTTGTGGAGGAAGAATAGAGTGGGATATCGTGTGGTGTTGCTATCAGTAGCCCCACCGGCAGCACACCCGCCCACACCTGCTCCTGGCTTATCACATGCCGGTTCTCCAGCTGCTGCTGGAAAGGCCTGTTCATTAATGGTGGGGATGGGTGCGGGCGGGAAGTGGGGAAGGGGTTGGGGGAGGGTGTGGGGTGTTTCACAATGGGAGTGTACAATGGACTGCATCACCCTCCACACACTCACACTCGGAGCTCAGAAGCGAAGGGCGGTAGGGGCGAGAGCGTGCCACTGGAGAGCAGCATGGATCGCACGCAACCCCAGCATTCTGACCTGCTGCATCACGAGGCCTGAACCTAACGCTCCACTTGGATATTACAAGGTGAAACCTCGTGCTGCACCTCCCCTACACTCACACTCTTAGCTCTGAAGCGTAGGGCTGCAGGGGCGAGAGGGTGCCACTGGTGAGCAGCATGGATCGCACCCCCAGCATTCTGATCTGCTGCATCACGAGGCCCGGGTCGAAGCACCACCAGTTGAGCGTTCGAACCACCGAGGGGGCAGCCACTGACGCGTTTCTCCTTGCCTTCACCTTGCGCTCTGTTATGCACACCTGTGTGGAGGGGGGGGGGAGGGGGGGGGTGGGAGCATGACATGTGGTGGAGAGCGAAATGGCTGTGGTCGAAGCACCACCAGTCGAGCCTCTGAACTGAACCACTGTGGGCATCGCACACACGAATCTGCTGTGGTGTGGACTCCATGGAGGAGTGCATCGCACGCACTCAAGTGAGCGAGTTTTGAGACGTCTCAAAACTCGGGTGTGGACTTCACAGAGGAGTGCATTGCACGAATCACCTTCGATTCTTTTTCTAGACTCGGAATGAACTCAATAGTCAAGGTTCTTTAATCGACTCATACTTTGAGTAAACTAAGGAGGGTTGCATCATGCTACTTTTCGGCTTAGCTCAACGCAGCACCTTGAAGGAACTGGCGTGGGAGGTGGGTCCAGTGGGCGGGAAGATGAGCTGCAGCGCTGCCCACAGCTGCTCCAGGCGGAACGACATGGCCGGGTTCCCTGCTCCTCGCCCTGACGCCCCTCCTCCCTCCGTGCCCGCATTCCCCTGCTCCCCGCCTGCCTCTGCTGCTCCACCTGCCTCTGCTTCGCCTGGTGACAACGCTGCAGCATCTGCCGAAAGTCGCACCAATAGAGTGGAGAGCAGAGAGTGGAGAGCGGAGAGTGGGGAGCGGAGAGTGGAGAGCGGAGAGTGGGGAAGAGGCAGCAACGAGCGGAGGAAGGAAGAAAGGATACGTCGACTGGAGGAAAGAGCTTCTGCCGGCGTGTGCACGCGATTGGTCACATGTGCCTGTGTTACATTAGGGATATCTCGTTTTGACACGGTGCAGAATGGGTGGCCTGAGAGCTGGTAACCTGATCGGGGCACACCTCAGGTAGTACGACACACACGCACCATCGGTGAGAAGCAGCAGCGCATGCTGTACAGTAGCACACAGGGACATCATGGTGACATGTTTAATGTTGAGCTGTGCCAGGAACTCGTAGATGTAACTCCCTGAGAACGCATGTTGAGATGTCCCATAAGACATTTGAGAATGCCAGAAGCCATCACGTACCATCAGTGAGAAGCAGCAATGCATCCTGTACTGTGGCAAACAGGGACATCACAGTGACATGATTGATGTTGAGCTGTGCCAGAAACTCGTAGATGTAACTCCCTGAGAACGCATGTTGAGATGTCCCATAAGACATTTGAGAATGCCAGAAGCCATCACGCACCATCAGTGAGAAGCAGCAATGCATGCTGTACAGTGGCGAACAGGGACATCACGGTCACATGATTGATGTTGAGCTGTGCCAGGAACTCGTAGATGTAGCTTCCTGGAAACGCCACCCCAACCTCCTCGCCTCCCCCCACCAATTTCCCTTTCTTCCACTCGCCTCCACTCCCCGCGCCCCCTGCTCCAGCACCCATGCCCCCTGCAGCAGCAGCACCACCAGAGGCAGCACCAGCACCAACAGCACCAGAAGCAGCAGCAGCTGCAGCAGCAGCAGCAGCACCGGCAGCGCCAGGAGCAGTGCGGGCAGCAACAGCAAAGCCATGGACAAAGCTGTGCATGGGGAAGTCAAGGAGCTTTCTCTCCATGGCCAGCAGCAGCCCCTGCAGGATGCTGAATGTGTCCGGCTGCACTTCCCCCATCACCCCTCCCCCTTCTCCTCCTCCTCTTCCTCCTCCTCTTCCTCCTCCACCATTCCCATAACCAATCCCCCCCACCATCACGTCCTTTCCTCTTCCACCTCCCCTCCCGCCTCCTCTGCCCCCTCTTCCTCCCCGTCCCCCTTTGCCACCGCCACCCATTCCCCCATCACCCCCCTCCGAGTACTGGCTGCTGGAGGGTGGAAAGGCAAGGCGGGCAGTGGCAATGGCGGCGCATTTGGCGGCTTCGGCTGCACAGGCGGAGAGGAGTGACGTGGAGAGCTGCACAGAGGCCTGATCTGCTAGCAGGCGTTCCTGGGAGGACACGGGTAAGAGAAAAAGGAAGGAGGGGAGATCGAGAGGAGGTGAAGGGAAGGTGGGTGATGGCAATGGCGGCATGAGCACAGCTCCTCGCATGTGTTAGGGAGGGGAGAGCCATTGAAGTGGGGGAAAAGGAGGGGAGAGCCATTGAAGTGGGGGAAAAGGAGGGGAGAGCCATTGAAGTGGGGGAAAAGGAGGGGAGAGCCATTGAAGTGGGGGAAAAGGAGGGGAGAGCCATTGAAGTGGGGGAAAAGGAGGGGATAGCCATTGAAGTGGGGGAAAAGGAGGGGATAGCCATTGAAGTGGGGGAAAAGGAGGGGATAGCCATTGAAGTGGGGGAAAAGGAGGGGATAGCCATTGAAGTGGGGGAAAAGGAGGGGATAGCCATTGAAGTGGGGGAAAAGGAGGGGAGAGCCATTGAAGTGGGGGAAAAGGAGGGGATAGCCATTGAAGTGGGGGAAAAGGAGGGGATAGCCATTGAAGTGGGGGAAAAGGAGGGGATAGCCATTGAAGTGGGGGAAAAGGAGGGGAGAGCCATTGAAGTGGGGGAAAAGGAGGGGAGAGCCATTGAAGTGGGGGAAAAGGAGGGGAGAGCCATTGAAGTGGGGGAAAAGGAGGGGATAGCCATTGAAGTGGGGGAAAAGGAGGGGATAGCCATTGAAGTGGGGGAAAAGGAGGGGAGAGCCATTGAAGTGGGGGAAAAGGAGGGGAGAGCCATTGAAGTGGGGGAAAAGGAGGGGATAGCCATTGAAGTGGGGGAAAAGGAGGGGATAGCCATTGAAGTGGGGGAAAAGGAGGGGATAGCCATTGAAGTGGGGGAAAAGGAGGGGAGAGCCATTGAAGTGGGGGAAAAGGAGGGGATAGCCATTGAAGTGGGGGAAAAGGAGGGGATAGCCATTGAAGTGGGGGAAAAGGAGGGGATAGCCATTGAAGTGGGGGAAAAGGAGGGGAGAGCCATTGAAGTGGGGGAAAAGGAGGGGAGAGCCATTGAAGTGGGGGAAAAGGAGGGGAGAGCCATTGAAGTGGGGGAAAAGGAGGGGAGAGCCATTGAAGTGGGGGAAAAGGAGGGGATAGCCATTGAAGTGGGGGAAAAGGAGGGGAGAGCCATTGAAGTGGGGGAAAAGGAGGGGATAGCCATTGAAGTGGGGGAAAAGGAGGGGATAGCCATTGAAGTGGGGGAAAAGGAGGGGAGAGCCATTGAAGTGGGGGAAAAGGAGGGGAGAGCCATTGAAGTGGGGGAAAAGGAGGGGAGAGCCATTGAAGTGGGGGAAAAGGAGGGGAGAGCCATTGAAGTGGGGGAAAAGGAGGGGAGAGCCATTGAAGTGGGGGAAAAGGAGGGGATAGCCATTGAAGTGGGGGAAAAGGAGGGGAGAGCCATTGAAGTGGGGGAAAAGGAGGGGAGAGCCATTGAAGTGGGGGAAAAGGAGGGGAGAGCCATTGAAGTGGGGGAAAAGGAGGGGATAGCCATTGAAGTGGGGGAAAAGGAGGGGAGAGCCATTGAAGTGGGGGAAAAGGAGGGGAGAGCCATTGAAGTGGGGGAAAAGGAGGGGAGAGCCATTGAAGTGGGGGAAAAGGAGGGGATAGCCATTGAAGTGGGGGAAAAGGAGGGGATAGCCATTGAAGTGGGGGAAAAGGAGGGGAGAGCCATTGAAGTGGGGGAAAAGGAGGGGAGAGCCATTGAAGTGGGGGAAAAGGAGGGGAGAGCCATTGAAGTGGGGGAAAAGGAGGGGAGAGCCATTGAAGTGGGGGAAAAGGAGGGGATAGCCATTGAAGTGGGGGAAAAGGAGGGGATAGCCATTGAAGTGGGGGAAAAGGAGGGGAGAGCCATTGAAGTGGGGGAAAAGGAGGGGAGAGCCATTGAAGTGGGGGAAAAGGAGGGGATAGCCATTGAAGTGGGGGAAAAGGAGGGGAGAGCCATTGAAGTGGGGGAAAAGGAGGGGATAGCCATTGAAGTGGGGGAAAAGGAGGGGGGCCGGGGGGTGGGGGTTGGGAGGAGGAGGAAGAGAACCCACCAGGTTGTGCGCCTCGTAGATTATGAGTACAGCTCCTTTCATCTCAAGCACTTAGAGGCTTTCTCGTGAGCCATGTGGAATGGTTAGGCAGCAACCAGGGCAAGAAAACTCACCAGGTTGTGTGCCTCGTCAAAGATGAGTACAGCTCCTTTCATCTCGAGCACTTTGAGGTTTTTGCGGTAATCCTGGTCCAACACGTAGTTGTAAGGCATGAAGATGATCTCCGCTTTTTCCAGGAAGCCTCGTGAGACGTAGTAGGGGCAGCTGCAGGGCCAAACGGCAGGGATGGATGCGGAGTGCCATAGGCACGGAAGGGGCATCGACGGGGAGAGGTAAAGCAAGTGACAGTAAGGTCCTCAACAAGAAAATACGACATTTTTTCAGGAGAAGTTGAGGCCTGGAAAAAATTCCACCAATCTACACCTGGACAAGCTGAGACACCATTGGTGTGTGGCAAGAAAGGAACAGCGTGGAGCCAAAGGGTGGGAGACGTTTTCTTACAGGATGTAAAGAACACCTGCAGATGCATTCTGATAGCTGCTGAGACACGGTTTGTAGTGTCTGTGGCGAGAAAGGAAGAGCATGGCTGGGGAGAGGTGGGAGGGAATAAGACTCACGGTCCTTCCATCTGCCCCAGCTTGACCAGGTCTTCAATGTCATGCGGCTCTGATGCCTTCTGTGGGTTCATCCTTACATAGTCTGGGGGGAGAGGCGAGGAAACGTTAGGGTCGGATAGATACCGTAGAGCTCTAAAGTGAGAAGTGGGGAAGAAGAGGTGCTGTAGGGTTCAAATGGCTTGTGTGGGTTCGTTCATAGATGGTCTGGAAAGTGACGGAGAGGAAAGGGAGAATAGTGGGCATGCAACAAGAGCGGGGAGGTACAGCGTGGCTTTCAGCTCGTGTCATTCTGAAACGTTGGGGGGCTAGGTTTTTGAGTCGACTCAAACGTTGGGGGGCTAGGTTTTTGAGTCGACTCAAACGTTGGGGGGCTAGGTTTTTGAGTCGACTCAAACGTTGGGGGGCTAGGTTTTTGAGTCGACTCAAACGTTGGGGGGCTATGTTTTTGAGTCGACTCAAACGTTGGGGGGCTAGGTTTTTGAGTCGACTCAAACGTTGGGGGGCTAGGAGAGACAAAAAGAGGAAGCAGAAGAATGTGAAGCAGAGAGAAGGGAAAGACGAGGGAGGGGAGGAGAACAGAAAGGCAGAGGAAGGGGGAAAATTAAGGGGTGGTTAAGAGCAAAACAAGACAGAAGGAAGGTGGAAGTCTTAACCTTGTGGTTGCAGCAGCCTCGCCTGACGTGCTCCCATGAGGTTGTGATGGCACTTGTGCGGTTTGACACGATTTCCAAGGCACTTCACAAAGCAACAGCCTGACCTGCGGCCATGAGGTTGTGATGGCACTTGCGGCGTTTGACCAGCTGTCTGCACGTGTGGTTCTGCGCCTTGCCCTTCAGCTTGGACACCTTCCTGTGCACGCACGTGTGCTCCCTTGAACCCAGAATGCACATGCGCGGCCTGGTTGGGAGAATGTGAAGGCGAGTGGAGACCAAAAAGAGGTTGGGAAATGCCCAGGCGGCAGCAGAGCACGCGTGGTTTTGCACCTTGCCTTTCAACTTACCCACCTTCCTGCGCACGCACGTGTGCTTCCTCGACCCCAGAATGCACATGCGCGGCCTGCTTGGGAGTAAGGCAAGGAGAGGAGCTGGAACACCGACTAGTTGCGTGCCTTCTCCCTTTGCACTCACCGGTACGTGGTCGCTTTCAGCTCTCGCACCACTTGCTGCAGCTGCGCATGTGTGCGCGACGCATAGATAATCGTGGGAATGCGCTCCTCTTCTTCTCCGCCCAACCCCTCTTCCCCCGCTGCTACTCCGCCAGTTCCCCCTGGCAAGCCGTTCTGGCTTCCCCCGATTCCCCCTTTCTGGCTTCCCCCACGTTCGCAACCTCCCATCCCCGCGGCTCCTTGCTGCATCCCCATCCCCTGGGACCCCATCCCCTGCGAACCCTGCGACGATTCGTGCGACCCCTGCGACATGCGTACTGCTTCGTAACCCACGTCTTCCGCCCCCTGGCTCGGTTGGCGCACCGTTCCCCGCCCCTCGCGCACGGCTTTCCGCTGCTGCGCATCCCGGCGCTTCTTTGCGCGGATGAGGCTCGCCTGCCACGCCAAGGACGCGCAGAGCAGGCAAAGCGTCTTCCCCGTCCCCGTCGGCGATTCCAGCAGTCCGTTTCCCCCCTGCACCGGAAAATTCGGGCATTTTTCAACGATTAGAATACTACAGGTTGACGAGTTGCGCTAGTGACGAGGCACACAGTATGCGGAAGCGTCTTCCTCCGCAGTCGAAAGAAAGAGCTCGCAGGAGAGGCGGCGCGATGACAAGGAATAATGCGAAGGACGGGAGGGAGCAAAGGTTGCGGGCCACGAGGGAGCGGTGCGGGCGTCGAGGCGATGGATGGGTTTAAAAATGGGCTCGGGAAGAGACGCTAACGCAAAGAGAACCGGCTTCGAAAGAGACGGTAAGGCAAGGTAACGGCGGTCTTGACAGAGACGGTATGCAACAGAATGGTCGTGGCTTTGACGCTCGCTCAGCATGGCCGAGGATCACGGACGCATGCAATGAAACGCGAAACGCGGAGGAGAAAAGCAGAGGAGGAGAATGGAGGCTTTCGCACCTGAAGGAGTGACTGCATGACTTTAGTCATGTACACAATCTGGCAGTCATATGCCTCGTATGGAAACGACACGGGTATTGAACATATTTTGTACACCGGCATGGCTCGTAGAGTGGTTGGAAACTAGCTTGATCTTTTACGCCGGAACTATTGGGCCCTTCTACGACGGCACCTATCGATCAGACTTGTTGCGTCCTTATCACGTTATGAAAGCGATGAGACTGCTTCGAACATTTAGAGGCGCGTATTACACGAACATAATGCTAATACAGAAAGTAAGTACAGGTTGAGGCAATCTCAGGGGCCTGATTAGTGAGCCACGGTAATGAACTTCAGGATTCGAGACCTTGGAGTTGGAAGCAGAAAATGACCGTTGGAGCCTTGGAAGCGTGTTGCAAGTGGTGTGCGAACCTGCTTGCAGTGGCGGGAAATTCAAAAATTCAATTCCCAAGGTCTTACCTTCCTCTGTTTGTTTGTAACAAGGAAGCGAGCTTTCGAGTGTTCTCAGGTTAACGAATCGGCTCATAAATGAAGACCTCAATTCTGCCATGGGGCATAGCATGGACCGACTGTTCTCCGGAGCGCACTGGAATGCCATTGCTTCCATTTGCCCGTGAAGCGCGGACAGACCACGTGCAGCATATCCCTAAACACCGATAGGGGATTGGTCGTCATCGGCCTCGAGTTCCTTGATTCACACAGTTGGCGCGCTTCTGCTGGATGCACGTGGACATTGTTCGTTTGCGGGCAGCACCCCTTTGCTTGCTTTCTGAGCCACAGCAAGAACAATCGGGTCGGCGAAATTCGCTAGGAACCGCAATCTCCGTCGTGACAGCGAGTTGAGCCAATAAAGTACTGCAAGCATGTTACATATCAGCGGGTAATCGCTCGTGCATATTTTCGTCAAATCGCACACCGGACACCTTTTTCTCACACGCCTGCCCTGGCCTTCCCTGTGGTCAATCTCGAGGGATGACTCACAGTTCAACTCCGACCACTCACCCACCCATGTACAGTAGCACAAGGTCACCCTCCCTCCCGGGCGGGACTTCTTCAGGTTCAGCTTTTTATGTTTTAGTCTCCATCTGAGCCTCGTACTCTCTCTTTGCTTCACTAAAGCTTTCGTGCCTATCACGAGCTTGTGCTCTACTCACTCTCCGTGACGCGCGTTAGTTCGTCAGAAGCCGTCAGCTCTAGCAAACTCAGAGCGACACCAGCCACCATTCCTGGTAAATACAAGGAAAGGTGAACCAAGACTATCACGCTGAGTTAGCTATTGCTGCTGACAGCTCGTGGAGCGGCTCCAGAGCCACAGGTCCTTGTCAGCCAATTCGCCGCTCATTTAGCCGCTTTATTCGAATAAGCATCGCCTGCACGCTAGCTTGTGCATTTCCCGCCTGGGGCCCAGTTGGTTATGGTGACAGGCTAGCGTAAGACTCCACCGCGATTTTTCAAGTGCAAATCAATCGACCAGCGCGCTTGAATTGCCGCAAAATGGCGTGTCAATTACCGGGGATCCCGACCTTGGAGACCTCACATAGACTCCCGACCTCAGAAAAGTCCCAAAGCCTTCCACCCGCCTCTCGCCTAAGACGGACGGGAGCACTTAATGGCTACCAGGTGTTGGGACTCGGGGACGGCTTCTGTTTAACGTCGTCGGCTCAAGCTCACCGCGGCTACATTCAACGTACGTTCGCGTCGCCTAGGACTTCCTTTCCGGCCCCTTGCAGAGCGTCGTCGCAGAATAACGCGAATTCCGCGTCGCCTCCGGGAACGCAGCCCGACGACATTAAGACTCGGCCGATCGGCCTCGTTCCTCTGTCGAAGCAGCGTCAGCGAGTCGCCTCGGCCGCCGTGACGACCCCTGCGGAAGGCGAATTGGCGGGGAGCTTCACTCCTGCATCTCGCGAAACGAGTCGGCAGACGAACGGCGCGACGACCATACCAGCAGTTGGAGCGGTGGGGGAGGAGCTGCAAGGGAGGCTGGAAGCGGGCGGGGACGATGCGGAAGCGGCTTTATCGGCGTTAGGTCGGCTGAGAGTAGCGCTTAAAGACATGCCGGATCGGTACTGGGTCATCTTTAGTACGTCGCTGGCGTTCGTTCTCTGCAACATGGATAAGGTATTTCTTTCTTCTCGCCCCTTCCTCTGCATCACTTCTACGGTGATATTTTCTCACTTCCCGCAGGACATGACATTGTTTCTTACCTCTCCTTGTGCAACGCGTTCCTTTCACCTCGCTCCCTGCTGCTCGCCCCTGTCACCACGCTCCTTTCGCCTCGCTCCCTGCTGCTCGCCCCTGTCACCACGCTCCTTTCGCCTCGCCCCCTGCTGCTCGCCCCTGTCACCACGCTTCTTTCGCCTCGCTCCCTGCTGCTCGCCCCTGCCACCACGTTCCTTTCGCCTCGCTCCCTGCTGCTCGCCCCTGTCACCACGCTCCTTTCGCCTCGCTCTCTGCTGGTCGCCCCTCTCACCTCGCGACCTTTCTCTCCTTCCACCCCTCCTCCCCCAATCCCCCTCGCCGCGTGCGCGCAGGTGAATCTGAGCATAGCGATTATCCCGATGGCGCACGACTTCGGCTGGTCCGCCACGACGGTGGGCGTGGTGCAGTCGTCCTTCTACTGGGGTTATGCGCTCTCGCTGCTGCCCGCCGGCTGGCTCTGCCAAAAGTTTACCGGCACGTGCGTACTTGTAACACCTTGGATATTTTTATTGGTTGCCAGCTCGTGTTTGCGGCCCATCGCAATCGCATGCGGGCTGCTCGTCACTTCCGTCGCTCCGTCTGCAATCCCTTCGTTGCCTCATCGCGCCTCACAACAGGCCCCCATCCCAGTGAACTAATTCAATGCCACATCCCCATCCCCATGCCGCACCAACCCATGCCAGTCGCACACTAGGAGCAAGCGGCTCATCTGGTTTAACGCCCCGGCTGACGTTTTTTCGTTGTCTTGTTGCCGCCCTACAATCATCCCAATGTTGACATCCCCATGCCAATATCTCCCCTTGGCCGCATCCCCGTGCCGCGCCAACCCCTCCCAGGCGCATGCTGCGAGCGGGAGTGCTCATCTGGTCCATCGCCACTGCTGCCATCCTTGTCACCGCCTTACACCTATCTCAATCCCCAACCAACCCATCGCAGGCGCATGCTGCGCGCGGGCGTGCTCATCTGGTCCATCGCCACTGCTGCCATCCCCTCGGCTGCCGCCTTCCTCCCCTCCCTCCTCTTCTCACGTGTTGCCGTAAGTCCACGAACGCCCACTTTCGATGGCTTCTCTCCCTCCTCCTCGCCCACCCTCCTTCAAGTCCTCCTCATCACTCTCCTCCTTCCACTTACCTCACCCTTGGCTCCCTCCCACTCTCCCTCCCCCTCCCGTTTCTAGTCAGTAGCTATTCCCCTTCGATTTCCGCCTGCTCCTGTTACCATCCCATCTGCTACTCAAACTCTCGCCAGTCTCCGTGTAACCATCCTCTCTCCTCACTATCGCCCTAAACGTTTGCTGCTCCGCTGGTCCGCTGCGCCCTTGGTCCGTTGCTGTCTGCTGCGAGCAGGTTGGATTCGGGGAGGGCGTTGCTCCGCCAGCAGCTACTGACATCGTCGCCAGGTGAGAACCGAGCTGTGACCGCACTGCACCGCTCCACACCCTGGACTCGTCCGTACTCCTGTCCCCCCCATCCTAAGCTCTCCGCCTCATCCTCGTCTGGTTTTTCTCCCTTCCATCCAACGCCTTAACTGTGGGCTCACATCCTTTTATGCAAAGGAGTGCCTGCACGGCATTGCATCCTGTCCGTCCATCCATCCTCCTCCTTTTTCGCCCATCCCACTTTCGTGTCTCCGCAGGTCCATGCCAGCAGAAGAGCGCGCGCGTGGCATTGCGTTTGTGTTCAACGGGTTCAACGTGGGAGGCGTGGTGGGGTGAGTGTGGGGAGGGGTGGGGGGGAGGGGGAAAGGCACGTGGTGGGGGGAAGGGGGAACGGCGAGGGGTGAGCGGGTAGAGGCGAACATGGGTTGAGGAAAGGCAGGGGTTGAGTGGGTTGAGAAGAAGACAGTGAGGGGCGGTGCATTTAGAGTGTGGGCTTTGCGTTTTCTTCAATGAGTCACGAGTGGGAAGCATGGTGGGGTTAGGGCGGGGAGGCAAGGGGTGGGGGGGCGGGAGTGACACATGCTGCTAGCAACGCCAGTGCTGATAGAGCATCCGGGGTACTTTTGAGACGTCTCAAAAGTTGACGCATGCTGCTGGCAACGCCTGTGCTGATAGAGCATCTGGGGTAAGAGCTGTTTAACATCTTCAGCCACCCTCCCTCACCCTCTTTCTTCCCCTGGCTCGCCTCCTCTCCCCAATGTCCCCCACAGACTGTCCATGTTCTACATCTTCGGGCCCCCTTTTCCCACCCCACTCTTCCACCTTCCCCCTTCCCCCCTCCCCCTTCCCCCTTCCCCCTTCCCCCTTCCCCCTTTCCCCTTCCGCTTTCTCTCTTCCCCCTTGCCTCTCGTTCTCGACAGCGTGCCTGCTAGCAGCGCCAGTGCTGTGCTGATCGAGCATCTGGGATGTTTTGAGTCGACTCAAAACACACCAGCGCCAGTGCTGATCGAGCATCTGGGATGTTTTGAGTCGACTCAAAACACACCAGCGCCAGTGCTGATCGAGCATCTGGGATGTTTTGAGTCGACTCAAAACACACTAGCGCCAGTGCTGATCGAGCATCTGGGATGTTTTGAGTCGACTCAAAACACACCAGCGCCAGTGCTGATCGAGCATCTGGGATGTTTTGAGTCGACTCAAAACACACCAGCGTCAGTGCTGATCGAGCATCTGGGATGTTTTGAGTCGACTCAAAACACACCAGCGCCAGTGCTGATCGAGCATCTGGGATGTTTTGAGTCGACTCAAAACACACCAGCGCCAGTGCTGATCGAGCATCTGGGATGTTTTGAGTCGACTCAAAACACACCAGCGCCAGTGCTGATCGAGCATCTGGGATGTTTTGAGTCGACTCAAAACACACCAGCGCCAGTGCTGATCGAGCATCTGGGATGTTTTGAGTCGACTCAAAACACACCAGCGCCAGTGCTGATCGAGCATCTGGGATGTTTTGAGTCGACTCAAAACACACCAGCGCCAGTGCTGATCGAGCATCTGGGATGTTTTGAGTCGACTCAAAACACACCAGCGCCAGTGCTGATCGAGCATCTGGGATGTTTTGAGTCGACTCAAAACACACCAGCGCCAGTGCTGATTGAGCATCTGGGATGTTTTGAGTCGACTCAAAACACACCAGCGCCAGTGCTGATCGAGCATCTGGGATGTTTTGAGTCGACTCAAAACACACCAGCGCCAGTGCTGATCGAGCATCTGGGATGTTTTGAGTCGACTCAAAACATGTTGTTCTACATCTTCGTGTATGAGGATTTGTTTTGTGACGTCTCAAAACATGTTGTTCTACATCTCCGGGTTCCTGTTTGTTTTCATCCCCTACTCTCCTCATTTCTCTCCATGCTCCCTCTTCTTGCCGCCTTCCCAACCGCACTCCTACAGCCTGCTAGCAGCACCAGTGCTGATAGAGCATCTGGGGTGGGAGTCGATGTTTTACATCTTCGGGTTCCTCGGGATTCTCTGGAGCGTTGCTTTCAACCCCAAGCCATCCGAGGTCACGTCAGAAGACTTTGATGAGTCAGCAGCCGCCAGCACCAATCAGGCGCTCTCCGTCTGCGTCTTTGAGGAGTGCCACGCACCGGTACGATCTGATCTGATTTGATTCGATGTAGTTCAATGAAGCTCTTCCTTTGTCTTTGTCTTCTTTGGCTTCCTCCCCCTATTTAGTTGTCTTAACCCCCTTTGTCCCGCTCCCTCCCCCTCCCCTAACATCTTCCCTTTTGCAGGGAGACATAGTGAGTGAGGATTTGAGGGAGAGTGAGGAGGAGAGGAGGCTGGTGGAGGAGACGGGAGGGTCGGACCCAGCAGTGCCGTGGGGCGAGCTGCTGCGGAGCAGGGCGGTGCAGGCCGTGGTGTATGCCCACTTCTGCAACAACTGGGGCCACCACATCCTCCTCGCCTGGCTGCCCACCTACTACAGGTAAAGGTCATACGATGTCATGCTATGCCTTGGGGGTGAGTATGAGGTGTGCGTGCTGCATGGGTGTTTCTCTGCTTTGTTGGTCTGCCTTCCCAGGCACGTGAAGACTGTAGCTGGCTGAAGCTCGTCTTGCTTCTTGATTGAAGAAGTGTTTTGAGACGTCTCAAAACACTTCCCAGGCACGTGAAGACTGTAGCTGGCTGAAGCTCGTCTTGCTTCTTCCTTGTGCTGTCCTGCGGTTACTCTGCCTCACATCTTTCTCCTTCCTCCCTCCCCTGTCTTCCTCTCCCCTCCCTTCCCCCTCACCGCTTCTCTCCTCCCCTCCCCTCCCTGACCACTCCTCTCCCTGCCCCCCCCCTCCCGTCCTCTCCCTCGCCTTCCTTCCCCCTCCTCTACCAGCAAGGAGCTTCATCTGGACATCACTCAAGCATCGCTGGTAAGTGCCCTTGCCCTGCCTGCTGCCGTCGGTCTGTCTGTCGCCAATCACGCTTACCTAAGGCGAATCAGACTAGTTCGTTCAAATGATATCTTTTTCTCCCCAACCAACTCGCTAACTCCTCCTGCACCTTTCCCCCGTCTCAGTAACCTCCCAGCACCTTTGCCTCGTACTTCGTTTCTCCATCCCATCTATCCATCCATCTATCTAACCACCCTTCTCCTCATCACATTGATCTCATGTTACCCTCCTCCTTTCTCAATTCCTCAACCCCCCCCCCCCCCCCCCTCTCACCCCTTCTCTCTCCCTGCCAGCTGTCGCTCCTCCCGCCACTCCTCTCCATCGCCGTGTCAGCCGTGGTGGCGCCAGCAGCAGACCGGCTGATTGCAGAGGGCACGGATGTTAGCCTGGTGCGGAAGCTAGCTCAGGGAATGGCCTTCCTAGGTCCGGCAGCGTGCATGGCAGTGGCTAGCTTCGGCCCGGACCACAATCTTCCAACCTGGCTGCTGGTGGCGGCTCTCTCTGGTGGCATTGGCCTCTCCGCGTGCTCCTACGCTGGTATGGCAGCGTGATTGCTTGCACCCACCACATCCCACTGCTTTGATTCCATTCCATCCCATCCCACTCCTCTCGTTCAGTGCACTTACCTCACCTCACATCCCAACCGCTGTCTATCTCGCTTGCTCTTCTCCCAGGTCTTCCCTTCCGCCAGAGCAGATTCCCACTCTTGTTGCTCATGTCTACGTCTACCTTGCTGCCAATTGTTGAACCCTCTCCCCTTTCCGCCAGGCCTCTACTGCTCGCATCAGGACATCTCTCCCAAACACGCCAGTGTGCTGCTGGTGAGTCATTGCACAAACGTGCACAGACAGACACTCACTATACTGTTGGCTTTTCTCAAGCCAGCCAGTGCCATGCTCTTGATTCCTTGCCCGGACAGCACCAGCCAAACACGTCAGAGGCCTGACTCCACTGCAATGCCGCCATGGTTTGCTACGGAAAGAGCACATGTCAGTTGGCCTGGCCTGTCTGTCTGTCCTGGTATCTGTGTGTTTCTCTCTCTGAGTTTTCTGCGTGTGATGTGCTGACGAACTTGGGCTGTACCCTCTCTCTCTCTCCTGTGCAGGGAATGTCAACGACAGTGGGGGCGATTCCTGGCATCGTGGGCGTGCCATTGACCGGCTATTTGTTTGACCAGACCCACTCCTGGGCGGTGAGTACTGCACTGCTTTCTTGATGTGGCTTCACTTGAAGTGATTTCTTTGTCGACCCAGTTGTTGTCATCGTGGGCATGCCATGCTACTGAACACTGACCTGATATTTCTTTGACCAGACCCACTCCTGTGCAGTGGCTCAATTGAGTCGCGTGATCTTCGTTCTTCCTTTTTCCTATGTTGGACTGTATATATTTTCAAGCTCATTCCCTCACTTATCACACTCTTGTTGTTTCAGCCACGCCCATTTCTGCCCCATTGTTCCCCACCAGACAGCCATGTTCCTCCCTTCAATCGCCTTTTACATCTCAGGCACCATCAGGCGCCATCATGTGCTCTCTCTCTTTGCTGACTGCTCCCATTCCCGCACTGATCACCTGCTGTTTTTCCCCCATCCTCTCCCGTCCCATCCCCTCTGCCCCACCTATGTCGCCCCCAGACGGCCATGTTCCTGCCCTCCATCGCCTTCTACATCTCGGGCACCATCATGTGGTCGCTCTTTGCCGACTGCTCTCGAGCCAACTTCGGAGAGGACAAGGCGAAGCTCAAGGAGGCCTAGCAACCTCACCATTCATTGTTGAGCCCAAAGCCGAGCGCCTTGTGGCACGGACACATGGCACCGTCATGGAAGGGAGGCCTAATTCCTCCCCATCCCATTGTTGGGTGCACGGCAAAGCTCATAAAGCCATAGCGCGCCTCCACAGCAGGAGGCATGGGTCTCCATAGAACGTCTGATTGTTCTGCCGCTGTCGTCTGACAGCTGAGACCTTCTTGCAGTTTCTGCTGTCAGCTTCTGGCAGTTTTCACTGATGATTGGCGGCTCATCTGCTTCGACGGGGAAGGAGCTGTAGTGTAGAAATTTTGTATTCTTTTACAGAGGCGGGAAGGAGGCAGTGCAGCAGAGGCAGCAGGCATGCGGGAGGCGCCAGGCATGCGGGCCGAAAGAAGACGTTGCTAAGGTGTCTCAGGGTTGTGCTCGTGTTGATACAAGTGGCTTGGAGGAGGCTGATCAAATGAATGAAACCTGCTGCTGCTGAAGCAGAGCAATGGATTTTGGCTCGTCCACGAGTGCTGTGATGCCGCAAACACGCCACGTGCAAGGAGGATGTGTGGCGTGGAGGCGGAATTCCTGCTGCGCCCTTTCAGTCCTGTCCAGCTGAAAGCCACTTGGATGGTCAAAATTGACCGTTTTGTAAAATACTAAAGCTGTGCATTTTTTTGCTTTGTTTTTTCAATGGTTCTGCAAGCGTATGTATCTCCTTTTTTGTGTTTTGGTCATGCTACCGTACTGCCTGTTGGTTGATGAATAAGCTGCAATGCAAGCAAGGCGCTACAAGCTCAATCACAAGCAAACAACAACCATGGTGTTCAACTTCACAAATGGAGGTGTTCCACCACTGAGTCACGTTCGGAAAACGCAAATGGGATTGTGCCGTGAAATCAGGTTTTCTTTATGGTTTCCATTCTATGTCGTATGCTTGTGATGCGAGGCTCTGCCTTGTGACCCCTTTTGGGTGGCATCTCTAGCTAGCAGGACGACGCACTTCCTTACAGCACTATTTCATGAACCAGGTTTGTGATGTGAAGTATTCATCATTATTGCACTAAGCCATACTCAACTAGTGCCATATTTAACTCCATCTTAGAGCTCTGTAGGGCTACTACTTCTCAACGGGTACAGCAAGCATTGGATCTATAATATATGCCATATTCTACATTATGTATTACTGTACGACCTCACTACCTGTCACATCCCTCTCTAAGTAACGAGCGCGCGGTGGTTACCCCCATTCGTCTATCCAAAACGTGTCTGTCTGTCCTCATGACTAACCCCCACTAACTATCTAGCACTTGGCTCAAGAGCGAAGCAACATTTGCTCTCGCTCGACCCGTCCTCTCAGAATCAGCATCCTCGCTACTGACTGCTCCATTCTTCCTAGAAGCCAACGCCTCTACCATTCCTGTTGGCTGCTTCTCAAGGTCCCTGACCGAATGATCAACCCGTGTATCCACTCCCTGTGAAGCAAGCACCACTTCAACCATTCCTGCAGTGCCCTCCTGCTGCTCCTCCCCTTCCTCCTCCTCTTCCTCTTCCTCCCCTTCATTCCCATGTTCCCACGTGTAAGGATTCTGCCCTGCTTTATCCCCTGCTGCTGCACCCACATACCCCGTGCTGCTGTATCGGGGTACACTCGCCCCTCCAGCATAATCAGACTCAAATGGGACCCTCGCCTCACACCCTGCAGTCTTCCCATCTCCAGCATAATCAGGCCCATACGAGACTCTCCCCCCATCTCCACCATAGTCAGGCCTATATCGAGGGCCACTCCCACCCCCCGCCTCTCCAATATACTCCATACTGCCATACATCGGTGTATCCCCCTCTCCTCCCGTCCCCCCATCGGCAAAGAACTCAGCTGCACGCGCCAGGAAGTCATGAACCGATGTTGATGCTGCCCCTGGCCCTCCCCCTCCAACACCATACGGGTCTGCGTCAACCCCGCTAGCCCCGTATGGGTCTGTGCTGCCCATATGAACCCCGTATGGGTCTGTGTCAGCCCCATGAGCCCCATATGGGTGGGTGCCTGGACCTGACCCAGCAGCACCATAGGGATCCGGGGCACTGCCTTCCTCCTCTTCGTCATCCTCCTCCTCCTCCTCCTCAGCAGTCCTGCTGCCCAAAACAGCACCCAATACGCCCTCCTTCCCCCTCCCCTCACCACCCCGCTGATCCGCGCATTTCTCGTCTTCTTTCCGCCCGCCTCCACTCATGCCCCCTTCCTTCCGCTCTTGGCCCATCCCCCCTTCCTTCTGCGCTTCTCCCCCCATCCCCCCCCCCTTCCGCCCATCTGATCCCACCCCGCCCAGCCTCTCCCCCCTGTCCGCGCTGCCCTCAACCTTAACCACCCATGTTCCCCTCCCTCCCCCACCACCAACAGGAAGAGCAGCAGCAACACCACCAACACCACCAACAACACCAGCAGCACCAGTACCACTAACGCCACCAACCTCCACACTGCCACCAGCACCAGCCATCCTTCTCCCGCCCGCTCCCCCATCCCTGAACCCCTCCTTTCCCCTCTCCACCTCTCTGAACCCCTGCCTCTCCCCAGCCGCGCCCCACGGCCTGTCCCTCTGCCAAATCTCTCTCAACCGCACCAACTCCCTCTCCTCCGCGCTCCCATGGGAGAATCTGCATCTTTCCCCGTCCAAGCACCCCGTGCCCACGTGGAAGTACTTGCAGGGGAAGCGCGCCAAGTCGTGGGAGAAGGGGCAGTCATCCCCCTTAAGGCACGAATTCGTTACATGGAACTTGCACGGCTCGTTCTTGGTCCGCGGAACGCCTGTGTGCGGGAAGGGGCAGGACGCGCCCTTGCTGCAGCGCCCACCCAGGTAAAACTTGCAGGGGACAGACACACGCGAGGGACCCACTTCCATGCGCCGCCTATGCCCCCCGCCTCCGCCTCCGCCGCCCCCTCCCCCTCTTCCTCTTCCCCGCCAGTCGTCCCGCCCGCCCCTTCCGCCGCCCCTGCCCCCTCGCCCGCGATACGCCCCCTCGTGTCGTCCCCCCGTTTCGTCCTGCTCCCACTCGTGTCTTCTCCTCTTCCCCGTCCATCCTTCCCCCCCCTCCTGCCCTCCCCCTTCCCCATCCCCACCATCCACCATTCCTCCATTCCCCTCCCCACCATCACCTGCCGTCGATCCAACGCCTGCTCTTCGCCTTACTCTCGCTCCTTCACTCTCCCCCTTCCCCGCCCCCACCTCCTCTTCCTCCTCCTCCTCCTCTTCCGCTCCCCAAAACCCTCCGCTCGCCAGTAGCGCCGACAGCTGTCCCTTCTCCCCACCACCGCGCGCATCTCCCGCCTGCTCCGCCCTTTTCCCCCCTCTTCCAGCCCCATCCGCGCCTGCTCTCTCCGCCTCTTCCCCCTCCCCCGGTCTCTCCTTGAACCCTTCTCCCCCCTTGCCTATAACCCCAACCCCGCTTTCTGAACCATCCGCGGCCGCATCAGCAGCAGTAGCAACGCTGCCAATACCGCTAGCAGCAATGCCGCCGGCAGTAGCAGCTACAGCAGCATCAGCCATGCTACCAGCGCCGCCCGAACGCATAGCAGCAGCAGCGCTAACAGTAGCTCCGGCCTTTCCGCCTTCGTGCGCCTTACCCCTGTGATGGTGCCGGCTGCGGTGGTGGTGCGCGTGGTGATGGGGGTGATGGTGGGGGTGATGCGGATGATTGCCGTGAGGATGGGCATGAGCTCGAGGCTCCGAGTGCGGGTGCTGCTGGCGAGGATGATGAGGCCCATGATGCTGATGATGATGCTGATGTTTGGCTCTCTTAAACCCCAAGCCGTCAACCCCATCGTCGTCACCATACCCAACAGGATCGCTATCACCATCACACATGCTATCAGCAGGAGCATGAGCATCGGCATGTGCATCCGCATGCACAGCATCGTGATCATGGGGGTGAGAAGTCATGGTCCATCCACGGGGCTTCACAGGGGACCCGCTCCCCGCGCCGATCCCTGCCATCTCCCCGAGCGCGTCGATCATCTGCCGCCCGTGCCCCCTCTGATGGTGCCCGTCCGACCCACGCCCGTGTGAACCACGACCGTGCGACCCACGACCGTGCGACCCACGCCCATGCGATCCACCCCCGTGCGACCCACGCCCGTGCGATCCACCCCCGTGCGATCCAAACCCGAGCGACCATCCTGCGACAGGATCGCCTACGAGACCGGCTGGATGACCGGACGAGGCCGGGAAACTGGTCGAAGGTCGACTAGATCCGAGTGCGGGTGCATGTCCAGACGTGTGTCCAGACGTGTGTCCGGCCCACAGCTTGGCAACTTCGCTGAACATCGCATCTTCATCCTCCTCCAAGTCAACTCCTGGAACGGCGAGCACAGATCCAAGATCACTTTCCGATTTAAAGTGCCTGACTGGTTTCGATCCCGCGTCTCTCGTTCTGTCTGACGGATCCGGCCTTTCCTGGTCCTTCGAGTCTCTAGGAGCAGGAGGGGTCTGCGTTTCGTATACCGACCCTGCTCTCAACGCGGATCTTTCAGCGATCGGATCTTGCTGCTCTTTCGTGTGTGACACGGCGGAGTTGTCCAAATCGTTGCCACGTGGCAGCGAGCTGGCGGAAGTAGCGAGATTCGGAACGTCAGGAGCGACAAATTCGCCTTCTTCGGATTCTGATTGGCCATCCTCTTTCATGTTGATTGAAGCCGCCAAACGCGGCGATCGGAAGCAATGCGGAACGATTGTTAGTGTTTCTGGCAGTGTGGCGCATCGCACATGGCTGGATGCGCTATGAGACACAAAAGAACCGGGAACTGTGAGGGACCCGTGAAAGACCTCCGGAACAATTTCTCCCAAACGAAGGTGACACAAGTTTGATCGAGGAATAGGACGACGATCAACTATCTGTCCTGTATTTATCCTCGCAACTGCTGATTTTGGCAGCTAGAATCTCGATGGGCTTCAAGCAAATCAGCGAGAGTTCTGGCGGCTTTGGGTTGATCAAACAACCTTGAAGTATTTCGTTCTCCTACGATTGTTATGAAAAAGATCACAGCAGTTGCTGCTGCTGATCCAGTCCGGTGCAGGCTGATACTGTGCTGTACCTACCCATCTCCCTTTCCATCCGAACTACAGATGTTTCGGGTTAGAGGCTCTCGCTGAAAGAGTCCCATATCCCCTTCGTGTAGAGTTTTCCGATATCGCCTAGAGTTGGCCCGACCCCTATAGTCCCTTTTTTGGCGGGAAATTTCGCAGCTTGACCGAATCATTGCACGAATCAACTCCGCAGCCAATCAGAGGCTCCAGATCTAAACAGCCCCAACATTCAGGGAAAAATAGACATAAGGGCTCATCGATTCGATATTAAACTTTGAAATTGTAAGTAATTGTTTTTCTTGAGCATAATCATTCTCAATCCTGTCGCGCGGTCTCTAGCGCGCTTGACAATGACATCCCATTTACCTCGCTTACAAGGTAAACGAGAAGTTTTTACCTTCTATTCGACCCCCAAACCATAATTTATTTTGTTTTGTTTTGTCCGTTTGTCATGCGACGTTGATCCGCGCGGGGAACCGAATCTACGTAAAAGACAAAATCCAAAGACTAGTAGCAAACAAACCACTCTTCATGCAATTTTCCTGAACGGGACTATAAGTATCGCGTTTTGCCTGTGGTTTGAAGGTTTTCGCACATGGTCTGCGCGCGGCGTCTCAGTCCGTCAGACTATAAACGAGAACACTTGTACCCTTTCCGCCAAGGTTGTGTGCCGCGGCCGCCGAACGCGTGGAGGAGAAGCAAGGTGACTGGTTGTTGCCATCATCCTAACGTCATAAGATCACAGGCCAACTGCATCCATCCATCGATCGATTTTGGAATGCTGAAGCTGGAGACCCGCATCTATTGATGACGCTCAACGATCAAACCGCCTCGTTTCGTGAAAATTAGATTGCGATATCATTTTTGATAGGGAAAATATGCCATATGTAACCAATTTGGGACTCGATAACGTGAATGGTAAAAAAGTAAAGAGTACGGTCACTGCAAAGGGGGTTTTCATGCGACTAGTAAAACGTTTCACTTAATCAGTCACTATCAATTGGTGAAAAAAAAAAACGCAAATGGTCTTAGGTGAAACCCCCGCCAAAACAAAATGAAACCCAAAAAGAACGTGGATGCATTTTCGAAATCAACCCTAAACACGTAACTCGCAATGTGTTTAGGGTTGATCCGTTCTCAAACCGAATCCGAATTCGATCGGGTTTTAGTTTTTCTTAAAGTTAGCTGCTTGGTTGGACGCGATCGAAAACTTTGTTGAGTTTCAAGTTTTTTTTTGCATGAGTTACATGTGTGACCATTCACGTAATTTTTTACCTGTTGTTAGTGACTGAAGCCGTGACCCCACTGTCAGGACTATGGGTACGAATAAAGAATAGCAAAAGGGGGTTTTCACTAGCAAGCAATGGGATACATATAGCAAACCCTAACAGGGCTGTACTCACTATAGAGTACCCTACTGTAGACTACACAAATATGACATTCTAATACACCCCCGTAGGCAAAGTGGGGTATAATCAGCACAGCAAGCAGTCGCATAATAAGTTCACAAGCACAAGTAAAGTAAGTGGCAGACATGGAGGGCTCGCGAGGAGGAGGAGGGACTATGAGAGAAGAGGAGATTGGAGGCGGCTGCTGAAGCTGCTGGCACACGGGCGACTGGAGCAGCTGGCGCACTGGCTACCGGAGCAAGGGCCCCGGACTACTGGAGTAACTGGCTCCGCGGCTAAGACGAGCGGCTGGAGCAACGGACCCACGGGCAATTGGCGCAACGGGCTCGCTGGCTACCAGAGCAAGGGCATCCGGACTACTGGCGCTGTTGGCTCCACAACAGCTACCTCCGTTCAACCTCCCTCCATTGCCCCCAACCCCTTTCTCACATCCCTCCAGCATCTCTACCACCATTCCCTCGGCTCCCACACACCCCCCCTCCTTCAGCGCCAGCTGCAGCAGTGGGAGAGAGAGGAGGAGGAGGAGCAGGGGAGTTCACACACTCGCCACCCCATACCAGCCACCCCCATACCCGCCACCCCCACACCAGGAGGTTGCCCCGCGGCTACGGTGGGGTGGCGTGACAGGTGCACAAGGGTGTCAAACATTATATATGTTATGCTTGTGTAGGCTACAGTGGGTTAGCCTATAGGGGGTACACAATTCTAGGGTTTCCTACTTGTACTCATTTCACTGCTAGTTCATTCATTCCTGTTCGCTTATTCTCACATGGTATAGAGCGGGTCCTTCTAAGGACCGTTTTTTTTGGGCCCACCGAAGCGCGCCCCGAGGCGCGATTTTTTTTTAGCGACCCCTCGGGTCGCCTTTTCCCCTGCGGCTCAGCCGCCTCCACTGACGCGGCCCCGCCGCCCTCCCTTACGCGGCCCCGTCGCCGGCTCTCACGCGGCCTCGCCGCCGACTCTGTCGCGGCCCCGCCCCGGCCTTTACGCGGCCCCGCTGCCTGCTCTCACGCGGCCCCGCCCCGGCTCCTACGCGGCCCCGCCCCGGCCTTCACGCGGCCCCGCCGACGGCTCTGTCGCGGCCCCGCCCAGGCTCTTACGCGGCCCCGCCGCCTACTCTCGCGCGGCCCCGCCCCGGCTTTCACGCGGCCCCGCCGACGGCTCTCTCGCGGCCCCGCCCCGGCTCTTCCGTGGCCCCGTCCCGGCTCTTACGCGGCCCCTGCCCCGGCTCTTACGCGGCCCTGCCGCCGGCTCTCTTGCGGCCCCGCCCCGGCTCTCACGTGGCCCCGCCGTCGGCCCTCTCCAGGCCCCGCCGCCGGCTCTCTTACGGCCCCGTCGCCGGCCCTGACGCGGCCCCTGCCCCGGCTCTCAAGCGGCCCCGCCGCCGGCTCTTTTGCGGCCCAGCCGCCGGCTCTGAAGCGGCCCCGCCCCGGCTCTCACGCGGCCCCGCCGCCGGCCCTCACGCGGCCCCTACCCGGCTCTCTTGCGGCCCCGCCGCCGGCTCTGAAGCGGCCCCTGCCCCGGCTCTCACGCGGCCCCGCCACCGGCCCTCACGCGTCCCCGCCCCGGCTCTCTCATGCGGCCCCGCCGCCACACCTGCAGCAGTCGGGCAGCAGTGCAGCCGAATCGCCCGAGAGCCGAGTCGCCCAACGCCCGAGCCGCCCAGTCGCCGAGCCGCCCGGGACCCGAGCCGCCCTGCACCCGAGCCGCCCTGCCGCCGAGCCGCCCGGGAGCCGAGCCGCCCTGCACCCGAGCCGCCCTGCCGCCGAGCCGCCCGGGAGCCGAGCCGCTGTGCACCCGAGCCGCCCGGTCGCCGAGCCGCCTTTCTGCAGAGCTGCACGACCTGCCCTGCCTGGTGAGCACAGTCCCACTGTCACTGCGAGCTCTTTCCCTACTGCTTGCACTGCGTCGCTGTCGTCGCCATGGCTACCCCTAGTGTCCTAGCTTTTGACGCTGAGGGTCGCGCCATTGATTTTGAGGTCTGGTTAGACGACCTGCAGCTGTTCTTACAGTGCGACAGGGCTGACGGCCTTTCTCTCTTTGACCTCACCTCTG